TTAGTGAAACTCCCTAAAAAAAATTGGAAACCGTGTTAAGCCAAAATCCGCCCCTTTTGACGAAAAGAATTGAAAATCAGTAACCCTAACCAGAGAGAAAGAGAGAGAGCTATTTCAATTTTCAATGGGGATATAGGCCACCTCGAGTTCGAGCAGAAGACATGCTTTAGGCATACAACTCAAAGCACTTGTTTGGTAAGCTTCCAATTCGCTATTTTCCCACTTGTATGATTTTGGATTACAACTCGAAGCACTTGTTATAGCGAGAACATCAAGCAGTAAAAATGACAGACTAAAATTCTGATCTTCTCCCCAAATGCAACCATTGACTATTCAGCAATTGAAAACACAGTTGTTGTTTTTACTTTATTTTTCAATTTCAAATAGAAAAAGAAGAGAATTCCGTAGCTTAGCTATGGAGCCTGGTATCCAAATGTATGGTCCCTCCCTCACACAAGGCTGACACACATCAGGCATGCATATGAACTATGACCATTATGTCCTTGCACAATTGCGGATTTAATTTTTCTTTCATTTGGCAGATACTAGTCCACACTCGCAAGCAATGTGCCATTTCCTCTTCTAATGGTATGTTGAGGGAAGGAAGCTTTGTTTTCTTCTCGTCTTTTATGTGAAGTTCACGTAATCACTGAAAAATGGCACCACTCCCAGCAGAGTTGTTTATCAATCTAAAAGCGATTGCATTTTCTTGTGCACACCCGTCATTTCATTTCCTCCAAAAATTACATACCCTCCCACACATAAAGAATTTCTCTCACAAAAATGGAGGAGGTGATGCATCTTGGGAATGATAACTCCGAATCAATTTTTCCAAACTTGGAAATTCTTAATGTGTCCAATTGTGGCAGATTAAAGAATCTAACTTCATCTGCTTCAAAAAAAATCTTCACAATATCCTTTCACAATCTAACCACTTTACACGTGGTTGGCAGTATGAGACTGAAATACTTAGTAACTTACTCGGTAGCTAAATGTTTACACCAACTTAAAACCATGGAAGTTTGGTTTTGTAAAAGCATCACAGAAATAGTGGCAAGCAACAAAGATGAACAAGATTTAGGAAATTATTATGACATTGCTTTCAACTGCTTGCAGCAGTTGAACCTTTGTTATCTACCAAGTTTGCAAGGCTTTTGCTCATTACGAAATTGCACTGTCAGAGTCCCATCCTTAAACTCTTTAAATGTCGAAGGTTGCCTGATCGAGTTGTAGATTTCCCCTGACGGGTCACTGATCCAAAGTGGTTCAAGACTAGAAAGACAACAAATAACAGAGGAAGTAGAAGAAAAAGAAGAAGAAAATGATGCCAATGAAACGGTAAGTTGTCATTCATATTAATAAAACGTTTAATTGTATGTTTCGTTGTAATGCTTAACAATATATTTTCAGGGGGGGAAGCAGCTGATTGCCCATACAAATTAGTGCTGCAAGACTCCATATTCCATAGTTTACACCACATCAATTCCTAACTAGTTTTTTCACAATTTTTGTCCAAACACTTGACTGTCACATATTCACTGAAAAATGGTGTTTTCCTTTCTATTTTCATGTAGACTCTTTTTTACTTCCCCGAAAATGCTACTGGACATTTGGCAAGTCACGTAGAAGCAACAATAAGCTTCATTGCTTGCACCTACCCCAACCCAACATTACACATGCTTAATGTGTTTGGAGTAATCTTTTGTTTTCTTTTTTTGGTAACAAGTAATCTTTTGTTTTCAAATCATTTTCTGCTTGTCTTTTTCTTAAGGGTTTCATTTCTCTGTCTCTGTGATGAGCATGATGATCATATGTTTTATCTTCTAAATAAACATTGGCTGGAGCTGGTTGAGCATGAAAATGCCAAAAAATATTTTCTAATGAGAAGTGATCAAACCGGCACTATATTCTGCCATTTTCACTTAATATATATAAAGTGGAGAGATTGACACACACAACACATGTGCTGCTCTGTTCTGCATAGTACTAGGATGATCTTTGCCTTTATTTAAACACACAACACATTCTTTTCTTAGCACTAACTCTGAAGATGCTAAATCCCTTGCAAGTGTTCCAAGAGCTAAATGAAAGCTCCTCCTTTTTGCAACCTTTGACCTTCACACTGCTGGCCATTTTCCTCGTCCTCCTGTACACATGGTATTCTTCAACTAAAACCACCACCCAAAAGTCATCACCACCACCTTCTCCACCAAAGCTCCCTATCATTGGGAACCTTCACCAGCTAAGCTCGTACCCTCATCGCTCAATTCAAGCCTTGTCCCAACGCCATGGCCCTCTCATGCTTCTCCATTTTGGAAGTGTCCCGGTGCTTGTTGTCTCTTCAGCTGAGGCAGCCCGGGAGACCTTGAAAACTCATGACCTCGCATTTTCTGGTCGACCCAAGTCCATCATCTTTGAGAAGCTTCTCTACAACTACAAAGATGTCTCAACCGCGCCATATGGTGATTATTGGAGGCAGGTGAGAAGTATATGTGTGTCAAATCTTTTGAGCAACACAAGGGTTCGGTCTTTTCGTTCTGTGAGGGAAGAGGAAACCAAATCCATGATCAGAAACATAAATGATTCATCATCATCATCATCAACCTCATCATCTGTTTTGAATTTAAGCGAAATGTTTGTGAGGCTTACTAATGATGTGGTGTGTAGAGTGGCTTTAGGGAGGAAGTACAGTGATGGGGAAGGCGGGGAAAGTGGGAGGATGTTTCAGAAGCTTTTATGGGAGTTCACTGACTTACTGGGAACTGTTAATATTGGGGACTATATCCCATGGCTTTCTTGGTTAAGCCATATCAATGGTTTGGGAGCCAAGTTAGACAAGGTGGCTAAGCAGTTGGATGACGTTATAGAAACAGCGGTTCAAGAGCATATGAACCGTAGTTCAAAGAGTGGAGATGATGACCAAAAGGACTTTTTGGACGTTTTGCTTTCAATTCAGAAAGAAAACGTGGCAGGCATTCCTATTGATAGAGTTAGTATAAAGGGTATCATCTTGGTAACTCTCTCTCTCTCTCTCTCTCTATATATATGTGTGTGTGTGTGTGTGTGTGTTTTTGTGAAAGAGATGTAACATATAGTATATATATATATATATATTTATATATTTTGCAATAGGTTAAATATCTTAATCCAATCAATTGTTTTTAGGACATGTTCGCTGCTGGCACTGATACCACATATACTGCTTTAGAGTGGGCAATGACTGAGCTTTTAAGGCATCCAAGGGTCATGAACAAATTGCAGAATGAGGTAAGGGGAATAGTCGGAAACAAAAGAGACATGATTACAGAGGATGATTTGGTTGAAATGCACTACTTGAAGGCAGTGACGAAGGAAACTCTTCGCTTACATCCGCCACTTCCACTACTATTTCCCAGGATGTCAACCCGAGATGTGGAAGTAAATGGCTACAACATTAAAGCCAACACACATGTTTTCATCAACGCATGGCAAATTGGAAGAGATCCCAAGCTGTATGACAACCCAGAGGAGTACAAGCCAGAAAGGTTCTTGAATATTGGTATAGATTACAAAGGGAATGACTTTCAATTGATTCCATTTGGAGCTGGTAGGAGGGTCTGCCCAGGACTTCAGTTTGCCATGGCTGTTAATGAAATTGCCTTAGCAAACATCGTGCACAAGTTTGATTGGGCATTGCCCGGTGATGCAAGTGGGGAGGATTTAGACATGACAGAATCCATTGGCTTAACCCCACATAGAAAATATCCTCTGAAGGCTGTTGCTTTTCCACACTCAAGTTGAGGGATAGAGAGGGCATTTTCATATATGTCCATGAACTGGTCTTCATATTATATGTGTTAAGGCTCTAAGCCTGCTATCGTGTATATGTCTATGGCTTCAGCTGTCAGTACTGTTGCCAATATACCATAGCACAATAAGAACTGTCAAAATATTATGTGTCAATGCAAGTTTTCTCACCATATACACTTTTTCAAGTTTCTTAAAATTGGTCTGTTTGGAACATTTTGAGTTTTTGGAAATTCAAAATCAGGGTAGGTTCTGAATTTTTAACCATGGTGGTGTGTGGTGAGAAACTCAAACTCAAGTATACATGATTGATGAGATGGGGGAAAGTCAGTTGCTCTTATCTCGTGGGATTAAATTAAAGTGGGAAAGATAATTGAAACAAGACTAGTATTAGATTACTCTCACAAAGAAAGTCAAAAAGAGAGGAGCTTTATCTCGTGGGATTAAATTAAAGTGGGAAATATAATTGAAACAAGACTAGTATTAGATTACTCTCACAAAGAAAGTCAAAAAGAGAGGAGGTAAAAGACAAAAGAAGAAGAAAATGCCCCATGGTGATCTTATCTTGCATTACCAATGAGGTTTTTCTAGAACATATTTTCTTTCTATATTCATTTTAGAAGGTTGGATGCGTGAAACACATAAGATCATGAAATTCGACTTCTGCTTAAGAGTATCTAAAGTGTTCCTTTCCAAACAAAAATAAAGATCCGTGCGAGTTCCATGTTCTTGTGTAAGTTCAATTTGCCACAGCTGTTACTGAGATTGCTTTAGCAAATATAGTACATAAGTTTGATTGGAACATGTAAAAGAAAGATTAAAAGAAATAACTTACAGTTTTGAGTGGGAGAAGGAGAGAGGGTTCTCTTGTTGATAAAAATTTGACAGCAAGTAGGGTGGGAAGAAATCGCACAATATTACTCATCATTCCAACCCATGGTAGACTACAACTTGGAACAAGAATTGTAAAAGAAGTCCTTGACCATATGCTCTATTATTGATGGTGAATTTTCCTAACAGAACTTGCACTGATGCACGCTAAATGGAGCTATTCTGATGTAACTACACACCGATGCAAAGTTCAACCATTCAAACCTCACACTACCATAGAAGCCAACATTTCTTGATAGAAGCTGTCCTGTAGAATACTTTGTTTCCCTATTACTATTCCACAAGGATAATGAAGCATGTGGTGATTTGTTTGTGCCTGGTGGTCAAATCCTTACCATAGATTGATATACAGCGAGATCAAAATAGGTAGCAACTTCTCCGCTATCTTTAGAGACATGCTTTTGCAAACATGCACCATATTGAGATTCTTTGTCATGGAGCTCCATAGCTGTTCTTGACGTTTTACTATCTGCCACTTGTTTCTGGGACCATGGCCTATCATCATCCATTGCTACCCACCAAAAATGGAAAAAACCGTCTCTACGACATTTCTCCTAATAAAACAAAGACCAGACCATCATATTGTGGAAAAGCTGAATGATACAAAATAATTGAGGTGGCTACCTTGCCTATGAGAGAAAGGTGAACCCATGTACTCAGTTTTGGTTCAGGAAACTCCAATGGCTCTTCTTCAACTGCTAAAGGAACACTCTTTGCTTTTTTCATTCAGTTTCCTCATACTGCTGCTCAAATTCATCTATAAGGATAAGTCGAGGAAAAGAAGAGTCAAACTTCCACCAAGTCCTCCAAAGCTACCGGTCATTGGTAACCTTCACCAGCTCGGAAACAAGCCTCACCTATCTCTCCGTTGCTTGGCAGAGAAGTATGGTCCAATAATTTACTTACAGCTTGGTGAGATCCCAACAGTGGTGGTTTCATCAGCTAGATTAGCAAAGGAAGTACTGAAAACCCATGACCTTGCACTATCAAGCCGTCCACAAATCTTTTCAGCCAAACACCTCTTCTATAATTGCACTGATGTTGCCTTCTCCCCTTACGGTGCTTATTGGAGGCATATTCGTAAGATTTGCATACTTGAGCTACTAAGTGCCAAGAGAGTGCAATCATTTAGCCATGTTAGAGAAGAAGAAGTTGCTCGCCTGGTTCGTCGGGTTGCAGAGTCCTACCCTGGCACTACCAATCTGACCAAGATGCTTGGACTATATGCAAATGATGTTCTCTGTCGAGTGGCATTTGGAAGGGGTTTCTCAGAAGGTGGAGACTATGATAGGCACGGGTTCCAAAAGATGCTTGAGGAATATCAGGAATTGCTTGGAGGATTTTCTATAGGAGATTTCTTCCCTTCCATGGAGTTCATACACAGTTTAACAGGAATGAAATCAAGACTTCAAGACACCTTCCGGAGATTTGACGAACTTTTTGACCAAATGTTGACTGATCATCTCAGCCCCAAGAGAGAAAAAGAGGAGCACAAGGACCTTGTAGATGTTTTACTTGATATACAGAAAAAAGAGTCTACTGAAATGCCTCTCACCATGGATAATGTCAAGGCTATTATCTTGGTCAGTATAGAATCTTGAATGCTTAAGTTATATTTATTAACAGCCATGAAATCCAATATTAATATAGATATGAATTGCACTCAACTGCTTGCAAACAAATTAACACCAAGTGGTACACCACTGCTGCTGCAGGACATGTTTGCTGCAGGAACTGACACAACCTTCATCACCCTCGATTGGGGAATGACAGAGCTTTTGATGAATCGCAAAGTATTGGAAAGAGCACAAGCAGAAGTACGAGGTGTTGTCGGAGAAAGAAGAGTCGTGTTAGAGAGTGATCTGCCTCAGCTGGACTACATGAAAGCTGTCATCAAAGAAATATTTAGATTGCATCCACCTGCTCCAGTGCTAGTCCCTAGAGAATCCATGGAAGATGTAACCATTGATGGGTATGATATTCTAGCCAAAACACGAATTTTCGTCAATGCCTGGGCAATAGGGAGGGACCCTGAATCTTGGGAAAATCCAGAAGCGTTTGAACCAGAAAGATTCATAGGTACCACTATAGACTTCAAGGGGCAGGATTTTGAGCTTATACCTTTTGGGGCTGGTAGAAGAGGTTGCCCTGCTGTTACATTCGGAACAGCAACCATTGAGCTTGCTCTAGCTCAACTTCTGCATACCTTTGATTGGGAGCTCCCCCCTGATACTGCAGCAAAAGATTTGGACATGACAGAAGTTTTTGGTATCACAATGCACAGGATAGCCAATCTGATTGTTGTCGCCAGACCACGGTTTCCCTGAGACGAGAAATCATCAATAAACTACATGATACTCTATGTATCATCCAATTATCTCTGCTTTCATCAAACATACAAGAGACGAGCAAGATTCACGCATTGCCTCTTGCCTGTATCTCAGAAACAGACTCTTATAGTTAATGGAAGAATATGTACTTGTCTTTTTTAAATAAGCTATGCTTTTTCTTTCCTTTTCCCTCCCTCCTTTACCCCAACTACGATCTAAACCCAATGTCAAGGTTGGTTTCCAAGAACAATGTTATGGTCATAGCTTCACAAGGAAGAACAAGTTAATTCCCCTACTTGCCTCCGCATGCATATCAGGGAACTATATACTTCAAAATATATTCAAAAGAATTTATTCAAGTTCTTTTCAATATAAATTGATTGATAAAAGATGAATTTTGAAAAGTAGTAGAGCTCACAGAAGGTATACATTGCTAGGCCGTAAAACCTTCATGGGAGAGAAATAAAAAACAAGACTAGTACCAGACTAGGACTTGTTACAAGGCATAACTGTCTTGTCAAAATTTTCTGGCCTAATCATTGTTCTACTTCTCATGGAGCGAGCACATGCATGGTAGATCATGCATAGATCCAACTTCATTGAAAAGCATGGAACAATAATGAGAACAGAGGGATATATGGTTAAAAGTGGAGGACGCAATCTTCTCTCTGAGGTACTCTGACTTCCAAAATTGTTATCCTTGGCAAATCTGTTCTCTCTGTGGTGAACCAGTACTGCAAAATGTTGTACGTTGATATTCAATCAAGTACTTCAAGCACAGCTGTTGAATCTCATTGTGACCTTATATCCTGAAGATAATGAGCTACTTTCTGAGCACCAAAAAACAAGGCATCGGCAAAGAGAAAGACTCCAACCTGTGCCAAAAAAGAAATCAAATTTGAGATTAGACTCTTAAAAGTGAGGTGACTAAAAAGCAGGCCATTTTAGCAAACATGTTAAAGAAAATAAGTACCAGCCGGGCAGAGAACACTAATCGGTAACTCCAACCTTCTTTGGCAGCTGCAGCTCTTTGCTGATCAGTCCAACTGTGGATTGGGGATTCATAAATTATTGCACTTTCTGTAAAGTTGTATAAGAACTGCCTTAAAGTTGTACTCTAATATGCATCAATAACTTAAGGCCACTGTGCATCAGCAGAAAGTAGATGCCAAGTAATTTGTATTATAAGCCATAAACTAATGGAAAATATACAAAGTAAATCACCAAATCATAGACCTTGAGTCAATCTGGCAGCAATAACTTGAAGATTATAGCTGGAAATTACCTTTTCATGGGTCAAAGCAACGTCAACCTTGGTCAATTAAGTTTACCAGATTCAACCTACATGCGTACTTACCTGATTATGCATCTAATAGCTATCTAGTTATCTATACTAGATGGCATTTACATAACCTTTCAACCCAGTTTCATGATCTATACAGTTTCATCTTATCTTCCCATTTGAAACAAGAAAAAATGAAAAATAAAATTTTGGTTTTCGCAATGCACACATCATAAGGAGAAGCGAGTTAAGATCAGATAGTTACCCAAGGAATTCTGAAACCCCACCAATTCCAGCAAACTTAAATGGCTGAGGGCCTTCTCTGACAAGATCCTGCTCCAACATAAGACAAGACTCACTACATTAACAGACGTTTTCAGGTTGGTTCACAACAAAGCACTGAAAAAGTTATAAACTTAGAAACGCTAATTACAAAAAAAAATCTAAGTTACACAAACCACAACTACCTCTTCTTCAGCAGCCTCTAAACCCCCTTGAACCCAGAAAAGGTTTCTGTATCCCGCATTGTACAGCTGCTCACAAGCAGCTAGAGATCTGCCCAAGAAAGGTGACAGTGGTGAAATTTGATTGATTCATTTTAATTAATGTAGGCTATTCTCTTCATTGCCATCTTTTCTTCCATGTATTTAAAGTTAAACCATAGTTAGTTAGTTTTTTTTTTTTTTTTTTGAAAAAAAATAGCATTAGGTAGAAGTATAAGTTATGAACTGCTGTTCTCTATTTGAGCTGGAGATATGTTAGTGATCAAAGATTCATATACACAAAAAATTCAACTTGGACAGAAACATGGGTCTGATGTCTAGAACATAGAAAATAAAGGGCTGAATTAAGATTCCTCCCTTTTTATCCTTTGACAATTTCCACCAATTATATGGTCACTTTGTGGGGAGAAGATATAAATGATCATACAATATTCATAATTTTGGGAAAACTTTCACTAAAGTTTTCTAAAAAGCTTTTCCAGTCTAATTGTAGACAACTATGAAAATGAGAAAAGAAGAAGAAGGGATTTGTAATGCATTCTGAATATAGGATGACATAACTACATATATGATGCAATAAAAAACTCAATCATATCAATTATATAAAGCCCAAAATAGAATTATGTTATAGCAGAACTTCCACATTCCTCATTATTAAACCAAAGTTATAACTGAAACTACAATTAGTTGAACATAAAGCGCACCTCAATCCCTTCTGACATGCAACAATAAGATCTGTATCTTTTGGAAACTTCTCGTCAACTTTGGACAAGAACTGGCTGTTGCAAAAGAAAAAACAATTAAATGCAATTCATCATGTGAACATAGCAAATCACGCCAATAATATGATTTTTTTTGAAATACCTATTATAAGACAATGTAGGCACACCACTCCACCAACCCCCTACACGAAAATATTATGTCACATTTAGGAGTACAGCCACCACAAGATGCAAAGCAATGACAGGTTACAATTCAGATGTTATTTGAGGAGTTAAGAAAATACTCTCTTGTTCCCTACAGAATATCACAAAGATATTATGATTTGACTATTGACTAGAAACCTATTCATTTGTTGCGAAAATGAAAATATAAAGCACATAGGCAATGCAAAACTGGATTAGCAGTTAAGAAAGACAAGATAGCAAGAATTGCATGATACCCATCGTGAAACTCATGAACTTTCTGGAAAGAGTTCCAGCGTCGAATTCATTACCAACATCAAATATTGGAATCCAGGTTGAGCCTTTAACCCATGCCTATAAAAGAGGGGGCAAAAAGAGGTTTATTGAAAAATAATGAAAAAGAATGCTATAGAGAAAAAAAAAATCATGTTAGGATGTCTACCTTTTTGTGTTCTGTAGAGGGGCGAACATCAAGAAGGGTTTTGTTAGATAGCTGAATTGCATACCCAGCTTCCCTTGGTGTTAAAGCTTTAACCTTTCCTTCCCTAACCTGTATTAATCGAGTAGCTACTACTTCAAAAATTAACAGAGCACAAATAAATTCAAAAGCATATGCAAAAGAAAACACACAACCTTATTCAACAACAACAACAACAAAAATTTCAACTGAAATAAAGCGCAGCAAACGAAAGAATGTTGCTTTCTTTTCTTAAATCCCCAGCGCACTTAAATATATTACCATAAGTTATAAAAATCGTTTTTCGGTTTTTTTTTTTCTTCTGATTTTATAGGAACTGAGCAACATACCAGAGCTTCCCATCTCTTCTTGGCAGCAGCCACATCCCTCATTTGCTTCAACTCGTAATCTTCATTGTCAGCTTGCATTCGAGTAGCACTCCTACGCTGAATCAAAAACAACAACAAGAACAACCCAGTTGAGAAAACAATTAAAAACAAGAAAAATAAAACAAACCCACTAATTAGAACATGAAAAAGGTGCAGAATTACATACAAAATGGAATGGTCTGTAACAGGGTCTAAGTTTTAGCGAAGATAAAAGTGAAATGCTTGAAAAGTGTTCTCTTTGACATGGTATTTTGGTGGTTCTTTGTTTGTGAAAACTAGAGCACGAAATGGTGTGGGAGTTGAGAGAAGGAAATCCCAGAGCTTCCATTGCCAAAAAGCTTTTTACGATACCGAGAACCGATTAGATGATTATTCGGATTTGGTTTATCTTCAGTTGCGTGTCGTTTGTTGCCCAGTGGCCCGAAACGCTGCGTTCAAGTAGACATGAAAAGAAAGATTGTTTATTTTTTTATCATTTGCCAGGATGGGAAGAATTATATTGAGTTGCCTAAAAATTATCTTATACATGAATTAAACATGGGTGCACTTGAGGAAAGGAAGAGTTTGGCCTACTTTTCTACTACGGTGGTGCCACCCATTTGCGACTTGAAAGGAAAGATTCACAAATTTACAAATTTTTTAATAAGACCTAATTTATTTACAATATATAAAAAATTACATGTCAAGTGTGTTTTAAAATTGAAAATAAGTTTGGTCTTTTCCAATGTTATATTTTTTGGTTTCTTTTTCCAATAGACTAATTTCATTGAGTAATGCTACACTTACCACATTTTTATCCCACATTTCTATACCACATGATGTGGCATATCCATATTATATGTCATATCAATTAAATCAATGAAGTGTATTTTAATTAAAACAATTAGAAAAACAAATATTTGAATAAATCATAAAAGAAAAGAAAATATTAAATAATTTCAATTGCCTCCTGGTCCTAGGAGGCTACCTCTCATTGGGAACCTTCACAAGCTTTCTAATGGCTTACCTCATCATGTCCTTGAACACCTTGCCCTTCAATATGGACCCCTCATGTTCTTGCAATTAGGCTCAATATCTACTTTGGTAGTCTCTTCAGCCCATATGGCAACAGAGATCTTCAAAACTCATGACCTCGTTTTTTCCGGTAGGCCAGTCTTGTATGTTGCAAAGAAGCTTAGCTATGGCTGTGTCAACCTATCATTTGCTCCCTATGGTGAGTATTGGAGGGAGATGAGGAGGATTGTGATCTTGGAACTGCTTAGTGCAAAGAGGGTTCAAATGTTTCAGTCTGTGAGGGATGAAGAGGTGGGGCTTATGCTTGACTCTATAGCTCATTCTAAGGGTCTCATCAATCTCACTCAACTGACACTTTTCTTAGCAAGCAATGTCTTGTGCCGTTCGGCTTTTGGTAAAAAGTATGATGATGGAGGAGGAATTGGCAAGAGCAGAATTCATGGATTGCTTGAAGAGGCAAGGGCCCTGTTGGGAGGATTCTTCTTGTCAGATTTTCTACCATGGTTGAGTTGGTTAAACAAGTTCAATGGTCTTGAGAAAAAGGTGGAGAAGTGTTTTAAAGGCTTGGACAATTTCTATGACAGAGTGATTGAGGAACACCTTGATCCTAGAAGGCCTAAACCAGAGCATGAAGATCTTGTCGATGTTCTGCTTCGGGTTCAGAGGGATCCCAGTCAAGCAGTACCCCTCAGTAATGACCAAATTAAGGGTGTTCTCACTGTATGTCGCTTTTTCTTTCTTCTTGCATTTGAGTGTTACTTATTTGTTAATATACTTTTGTTATTACTTCGACAATCTTCGTGTTAGCTTGACATATACAATCGGTATTCATATGGCTATATATAGAATTTTAGCTGGCTTGGGGGCAAGATAGTAAAAACAGTGAAATCTTTTCTTGCAGGACATGTTTATTGCAGGCACTGATACTTCCTCAGCCACACTGGTGTGGACAATGGCTGAACTGATTAGGAACCCCCTAGTGTTGAGGAAAGCACAAGATGAGGTGAGAGGAGTTTTAAAGGGAAAAGCAAAAGTGGAAGAAAGTGATCTTTCTGAACTCATGTACCTAAAGCTGGTCTTGAAGGAAAGTTTTAGACTACATCCAGCAGCGCCCTTACTGCTTCCAAGAGAAACCTTAAAGAGTTGCACGATTGAAGGGTACAAAATTCCCACCACAACAATGGTGTTTATCCATGCAAAAATGATAGGAAAAGACCCAGAATGTTGGGAGAATCCAAATGAGTTCTGGCCTGAAAGATTCTTGGACAGCTCAATTGACTACAAAGGAAACCATTTTGAACTTTTACCATTTGGGGCAGGAAGGAGGGGTTGTCCTGGTATTAGCTTTAGTGTGAAGCTAATTGAGCTTGCACTTGCTAGTCTCCTCTATCGTTTCGACTGGGAACTCCCTCATGGGGTGAGAAGAGAAGACTTGGACATGGAAGATGCTGCTGGGCTTTCAGTTAGCAAGAAAGTTCCTTTATTTCTAGCTGCTAAACCTGTGCATCCTTCCTTGACAAGCTATGTTGCACAATAAACAGGCCCCATGGCACCACAGTTATTTCCATATATGGTAAAAAAAATGGTGGTTGTTCAAATCTAGTTATTCTGTTTATCTTCTAGAAAAGTGTTGCTTCCTTGGTTTAAGTCTAGTTGTTCGTTTTCCTAAGCTCCGGTGCTCAAGGAAGCCTATTATGTCATGAATAAGACAGCAGAATATAAAAATATATTTCTTGTTCCGTAAGAGTCTTCTTTGTTTATGTTTTATTTGTCATTATTGCTTCCTCTTCTTCATACTCCATTAATTAAAATAAAGAAATAAATCCACATGGTTATTAAATAATTATATAAAAAAAATACAAATTTATAAATAAACCCAATCCTAGACATGTATTTATAAAAAAACCCAAACACTATTTAAACATAGAAACATACCCAAAATCAACCCCAAAGTCAACAATTGTATATTTTTTGGGTGTGTTTATAAATGAGTTTTGAGTGTGTGTAATGATGAGTTTTGGGTGTGTTTATAAAGTGTTTTGGGTGTTGGGTTTTTTTATAATTTCAGCTCCCATTTTGGGTGTTTTAGTGAAATCCCCTAAAAAAAATCCACTATCCCCAAAATCTCATATGAATTATTGTGTTGGTTTGTGGCTCTGTTTTGGTTGAGGGTTTAGGGTTTAGAGTTTGAAAACCCAAAATTTCAAAGTTGCCAACAGATTATCAACTATGTTGAATGTGATCAGCTGTTCTGAAGCTGAACAGATTATCAAACAATTACAAAGTTACAAAAGCATACCTGGCCTGAAATATAATTGCATGTTTAGTGGAAGAGAAAGAAGAGGACAACGAAGAGACACATACTGGGTAGTCACTTTTCGTTAGTGTAGCTGGACGAATCCCATACGTAGTTTTAGTTTTGGCAATATGACTCATGTAATTTGATTATTGTAATTTAAGGACATGTTCAAATTTCTGTTTAATTTCTTGACGGAATAAACACGTATCGTGTCTCTTACATAGATGAGGCGTTTTGGATGAAATTGGATGGAAATTTAAATGTGTCCTTAAATTGCGATAGAATTAAACTACATAAGTTAAATTGAAAAAATTAAAACTACAAGAAACAAAATGAAAACACCGGCAAACTACAAAAGTGACTTTATTCCTTCTTCTTCTTTTTTTGGTCGAAAAGTTACTTTATTCCTTAGTTTTTTATTTTTGGTACGGGGAGGTAGGTATGGGCTGTATGGACAATGGTTGGTTGTACTTGTTTTGACTATTTCTCATTGAAAATGTTTGGTTGTACTTGTTTTGTTCTTCGTCCTCCCGTCGAACATACACAATTATATGCTCGCTTTGCTATGTTTGTTTTTCTTGATTATGGCGAAGGACATAATCAAGATCGTTGTTACGATCCTAGTGCACAAAAATTGTATGTATCTCGTCATGTTGTTTTTCTTGAGCATATTCCTTTTTCTCCATTCCTACTACTACTTTATTGAATTCTGAGCTCATGTATATTGATCCTTTTTTACCTACTAATGATGATTTCTCTTATTCTGACAATGTTAACATTTCTCCTATTTCTAGTTCTCCTTCTAATCATTGTATTACTTCTCCTCCTATTACTCAAGTGTATTCTCGCAGGAAACATGTCATAAGTTCTGACACTAATAATCCTTCATCTCCTTTGGCGCCTGCTTCAACTTCTATGGATCTAGATCCAATAGCACCTTATTATCCTTCTTGCACTCATAAGCCCACTCATCGGTTTGGTTATTCTTCTAATGATTTTAGTTATTCTTGTTATTCTCATGATTTCTCTTCTTTCCCACCTCTTACAAGGAGGCTATATGTAATCCTCTTTGGCAACATGCTATGAATGAAGAACTTTCTTGTCACATCCCGGGATCGGCTCCGCTGTAGCACGATATTGTCCACTTGGGCCCCCCTCTTTGCCCTCACGGTTTTATTTCTGGGAACTCAAGAGCAACTTCCCAATGGGTCACCCATCTTATGATTGCTTTAGCCATAACTCGCTTAACTTCGGAGTTCTCATGACTCCGAAGCCAGTGAGCTCCCAAAAGGCCTTGTACTAGATGAAGGTGGGCATGTACATATAAGGCACATCACCCCCTCTCCGTTGGTCGATGTGGGATGTCACAATCCACCCCCCTTAAAGGCCCGACGTTCTTGTCGATACACATGCACCATACGACAGAGTGACTCTGATACCAAATTGTCACATCTCGGCTCTGCCATAGCACGATATTTTTCACTTTGGGCCTCCCTTTTTGCCCTCACGGTTTTGTTTCTGGGAATTCACGAGCAACTTCTCAGTGGGTCACCCATCCTGGGATTGCTCTAGCCCCAACTCGCTTAACTTTGGAGTTCCCATGACTTTGAAGTCAGTGAGCTCCCAAAAGGCCTCGTGCTAGATAGAGGTGGGCATGTACATATAAGACACATCATCCCCTCTCTGTTGGTTGATGTGGGATGTCACATTTTTGCTCTGCATAAAACTGGCACATGTGATTTGGTTCCTCTTCCTCCCGGTAAATATGGATTTGGTCCCTAAACCCTAAACATGCAGTTGGATGTCGATGAGTCTATAAAATTAAGACTAAATCTGACGGTTCTCTTGAGAGATATAAGGCTCTTTTGGTTGCTAAGAGATTTACACAAGAATATGGCCTTAATTATGCAGAGAACTTTGCTCCCGTGGCCAAGATGACTTCTATTTGTACCTTACTTGCTGTTGCATCAGTTCATCAATGGAGTTTATCACAAATAGATGTTAAAACTGCCTTTTCGAGGAGGTGTATATGGTTCCCCCTCTAGGTGTTCTTCATAATCCCTGGAGGTGTGTCGTTTTCGGAAAGCTTTGTATGGTCTTAAATAAGCTCCTCGTGCTTGGTTTGAGAAATTCTCTGCTGTTATTGGTTCTCTTGGTTTTCAATCAAGTGCTCATGATCTTGCCTTGTTTGTTCATTCTACCTCTGTTGGTCGTATCCTTCTCCTCCTTTATGGTGATGACATGATTCTTACGGGTGATGATTTGGATGGTATCACCCAATTAAAATTGGCTTTACATGATCAATTTGAAATGAAGGATTTAGGTCCCTTGCGTTATTTCCTTGGCATTGAAAGGTTATCTCCTTTCTCAGTCTAATTATGGCGTTGACGTTCTTCAAAAAGCTCGTATTACAGATACTAGAATGGCTTATATGCCTCTTGAGCTCAATGTGCGTTATTCTCCGTTTGATGGTACCCCTTTGGATGATCCTACTCTTTATCACACTATTGTTGAGAGCTTCGTTTATCTAACTATTACTCGCCCTGATATTGCATATGTCGTTTATATTGTTAGTTAGTTTTGTCTCCTCTCCCACTACTTTTCACTGGGCTGCTGTGATTCGTATTTTATGCTAACTTCGAGGGACGTTGTTTCAAAGCTTATTGCTTCCTTCCGCCTGAACTTTGGAGCTTCAAGCCTTTTCTGATGTTGGTTGGGCTAGTGACCCTTTTGATCGGAAATCTACTACTGGTTATTGCATTTTTCTTGGTGATTCCCTTATCTCCTGGAAGAGTAAGAAACAATTAGTTGTTTCTCATTCTTCTGTTGAGGCTGAGTATCGTGCTATGGCCTCTACTGCTGCTGAAATTGTTTGGCTTCAGTGGTTGCTTCAAGATATGAGTGTTTCTCTCTCTATGCCTACTCCTATGTATCGTGATAATAAAAGTGCCATTCAAATTGCTCACAACTCTGTCTTTCATGAGAGCACTAAGCACATCGAGTTAGCCTGTCACTTTGTTCGCCATCATTTCCAGACAGGCACTATCTCTCTTCCTTTTGTCTCCTCTACCATGCAATTGGCCAACTTCTTCACCAAGTCTCACACTCTTGCTCGCTTCCGCTTTCTTCTTAGCAAACTCTCGATGCTTAATACTGTAACATCGTGAGTTTGACAGGGGGTGTGACAATTGTATAGCCAATATTAATATATATTTGAGTCGGTGTCTTCTAAGGGTAGTTAGGTCTTTTACTTATATAGGGCATCTTTATATGCCTATATATTGTAATCGTACAGCAGCTTTATAATTCAATTGATTTGTGAATATATTGGCATTCTCTGCTTCTGCTTGAATTGTTCACACTCACCAACTGAATTTCTTACCAGATGTTGTATCCTGCTGTACTGCACAGATGGAGGGAAAGTGATTGAGCTAATAGGCAATAAGAATGACAGAAATCACAAGACCAAGGTACATGGCTCCGCAGAGAAATAAGAAAGATACAAGTAAAGCTCTTCAGAGTCAGAAAAAACCACTCAAGTACGGCATAAGAGCATCCCTTGTAGTTTTTCCAGCAAAACGAAACGAAAAAAAAAAAAAAAAAAAAAAAAAAAAAAAAAAAAAAGAAAGCTCTCAGGCAAAAATCTTAAAATAAACACTAAGAAGCTCACACAAATGACACCCCATCCACAACCAGTACAGCAAGGACACTCTTCTGCAAATTTCTGAGCCTCACTAGAATGAACTCTATGGGATATAAGATCGTTACAAAATATCTGCATTATTACAATTAAACATTACAAGACAATACATATATACAAAAATAGACAGTTAACTTGAGGCTCAAAATTAGAGAATGGCTTGAACTCTGTACGAGATTTGTATCCTTCAGAAGTCGTGACCAGTTGAGTTGAAGCTCTTATCTCATGCAGTAGGAGGGTACGTAATGTGTTATCTACACAGGTAGTCGTCGCCGTGGATTAGTCCAGGACCTAGCAAGAGCTTCAAGTAGTCGATAGTTTGGGTTATTCTAGTGTAACTACAAAATGGTTGTAATATTAGTGCTTTAGGCTACTGACATCAGCTGCTCGTTATCGGTAATTTGCCTATAGTTATGTTCTCTTTTTAATATCGGTATTATTCCATAGGTATGGGCAGATTGTTTTGGTGTTGCTTGCAGTGTGGTGTATCATCTCTACTAAACAGTATAGCCGGCTATACTTGTAAAATATTCGAAGAATTATATCCAAACAGTAGAGCCGCCGGTTATACATTTAAAATATACGAATTTATTTTTAAAATACGGCCGTCCGGCTATACTTGTAAAATGTTAAAATATTCGAATTTATTTAATTATATAAGAAGAGCAATACCTACACGCTCAGAACTCAACCACCTTAATTTGCAATGTTTATAACTGCCAACTCAACAATGATTTTTAGAAATAAAAAATAAAAAATTCAACAATGAATTTTTAAAATATTCTTTGATTAGCACCACCACCATATATGACTGTTAGTATGTAATTCACCTTCTTGTTTGTTTGGGGGGCGACATGCATGTTTTCAAATCATTTTCTGCTTGTCTTTTTCTTAATGGTTTCATTTGTATTTCTCTGTCTCTGTGATGAGCATGATGCTCATATGGTATATCTGCTAAATAAACATTGGCTTGGAGCCGGCAGAGACCCAGAAAATCACACGAAAAGACCTTAAATTTTTATATACTAAATTGAACAAGCCATGTCTGTTCTTTTCTTTTTGTTTTGTGTGGCTGCGTTATATCAAAATGACCCTTTTTTTGGGTGGGGGGGGGGGGGGGGGGGGGGGGGGGGGGGGGAGGGGGGGGTCCTCAAGGGCCATGTGCAGTGTGGATCACTTGCACCACCCCAAGGCCACTGCCATCCTTAAATGCTTATCAGCAGCCATGGCCTTGTTTGTAGCCTCAGAAACCAGCCATGGATTCTCAATCTTCCTTGGTCCTCCTCTTTGTTTTTCTCCTACCCGTTATTTTTTGGCTCTTGACCAAGCAGAGGAAGAAAAGCTCTGCTTCTCAAGGGAGGAGGTTGCCTCCTGGTCCTAGGAGGATACCTCTCATTGGGAACCTTCACAAGCTTTCTAATGGCTTACCTCATCATGTCCTTGAACACCTTGCCCTTCAATATGGACCCCTCATGTTCTTGCAATTAGGCTCAATATCTACCTTGGTAGTGTCCTCAGCCCATATGGCAACAGAGATCTTCAAAACTCATGACCTCGTTTTTTCCGGTAGGCCAGTCTTGTATGTTGCAAAGAAGCTTAGCTATGGCTGTGTCAACCTAGGATTTGCTCCCTATGGTGAGTATTGGAGGGAGATGAGGAAGATTGTGATCTTGGAACTGCTTAGTGCAAAGAGGGTTCAAATGTTTCAGTCTGTGAGGGATGAAGAGGTGGGGCTTATGCTTGACTCTATAGCTCATTCTAAGGGTCTCATCAATCTCACTCAACTGACACTTTTCTTAGCAAACAATGTCTTGTGCCGTTCGGCTTTTGGTAAAAAGTATGATGATGGAGGAGGAATTGGCAAGAGCAGAATTCATGGATTGCTTGAAGAGGCAAGGGCCCTGTTGGGAGGATTCTTCTTGTCAGATTTTCTACCATGGTTGAGTTGGTTAAACAAGTTCAATGGTCTTGAGAAAAAGGTGGAGAAGTGTTTTAAAGGCTTGGACAATTTCTATGACAGAGTGATTGAGGAACACCTTGATCCTAGAAGGCCTAAACCAGAGCATGAAGATCTTGTCGATGTTCTGCTTCGGGTTCAGAGGGATCCCAGTCAAGCAGTACCCCTCAGTAATGACCAAATTAAGGGTGTTCTCACTGTATGTCGCTTTTTCTTTCTTCTTGCATTTGAGTGTTACTTATTTGTTAATATACTTTTGTTATTACTTCGACAATCTTCGTGTTAGCTTGACATATACAATCGGTATTCATATGGCTATATATAGAATTTTAGCTGGCTTGGGGGCAAGATAGTAAAAACAGTGAAATCTTTTCTTGCAGGACATGTTTATTGCAGGCACTGATACTTCCTCAGCCACACTGGTGTGGACAATGGCTGAACTGATTAGGAACCCCCTAGTGTTGAGGAAAGCACAAGATGAGGTGAGAGGAGTTTTAAAGGGAAAAGCAAAAGTGGAAGAAAGTGATCTTTCTGAACTCATGTACCTAAAGCTGGTCTTGAAGGAAAGTTTTAGACTACATCCAGCAGCGCCCTTACTGCTTCCAAGAGAAACCTTAAAGAGTTGCACGATTGAAGGGTACAAAATTCCCACCACAACAATGGTGTTTATCCATGCAAAAATGATAGGAAAAGACCCAGAATGTTGGGAGAATCCAAATGAGTTCTGGCCTGAAAGATTCTTGGACAGCTCAATTGACTACAAAGGAAACCATTTTGAACTTTTACCATTTGGGGCAGGAAGGAGGGGTTGTCCTGGTATTAGCTTTAGTGTGAAGCTAATTGAGCTTGCACTTGCTAATCTCCTCTATCGTTTCGACTGGGAACTCCCTCATGGGGTGAGAAGAGAAGACTTGGACATGGAAGATGCTGCTGGGCTTGTAGTTAGCAAGAAAGTTCCTTTATTTCTAGCTGCTAAACCAGCGCATCCTTCCTTGACAAACTATGTTGCACAATAAACAGGCCCCATGGCACCACAGTTCTTTCCATACATGTTTTCCTATAAGCTCCGGTTCACAAGGAAGCCTATTTTTATGTCATGAATAAGACAGCTGACTACAAAAATTTATTTCTTGTTCCATATGAGTCTTCTTTGTTTATGTTTTATTTGTCATTATTGTTTCCTCTTCTTCATACTCCATTAATTAAAATAAAGAAAGAAATCCACATGGTTATTAAATAATTATATAAAAAAATTCACTATACCCAAAATCTCATATGAATTATTGTGTTGGTTTGTGGCTCTGTTTTGGTACTTTGAAAACCCAAAATTTCAAAGTTGCCAACAGATTATCAACTATGTTGAATGTGATCAGCTCTTCTAAAAAGCTGAACAGATTATCAAACAATTACAAAGCTACAAAAGCATACCTGGCCTGAAATATAATTGCTTTTTCAGTGGTGGAAGAGAAAGAAGAGGACAAAGAAGAGACACATATTGGGCAGTCACTTTTCGTTAGTGTAGTTGGACACGTACTTAGTTTTAATTTTGGCTTGATTATTGTCATTTAAGGACACGTCTAAATTCTCGTCCAATTTCTTGACGGAATAAACACGTTTCTCTTAAGTCGAGCGGTGTTTTGGATAGAATTGAATGGAAATTTGGATGTGTCCTTAAATTATACAATAATGTGGGTTATATGTTCACAAACTATATATATCACACCAAATCTCTTATCACTCTCAAAAAAATTGAACAAAAGAACAAAAAGGAGAAACAAGCAATTGATGATATAAAACGAACACTACATATCCAGTGGTGGATCCACCTGAGGGCGACCGAAGGTTATTGTCCCCTGCTCGCCCTTTTTACATAATGTCTAAAACGTGTATGTTTTTCTTATCTCCGTTGAACCAAAAAAATTCAATAAAAAAAAATTTCAAACGTGGAATTGGATAAGTCCCACAACTTTGAGTAGGTTTGATACCCATGTGCATTGAAACAACAAAGAAGTCAAATGGCTTTGGTTATGTGCCACGTCTAGAGATAAAGCACATGTGAAGCACAATTTCCTTAGCTACATCACAAGTGATTTTTTTACACGTTTATCACGTGGGCATTTCAAATTGCAAGGCCAAAGAATGCATTTCAAAAGTGGTGTGCTTCAACAAATCTCCTCACTCCTTTGCAGCTTGGTAAACCATGTATAGGAAAAGAGTTCAAAAAATTAGGGGAGTTTGACCAACTAATGAAAACTCTCGAGAGAGAGGTTGGCAGTTCCTGTTTTGGTAATCCATGACATATGGGTATGATTCTTGAACCACAATGCTCTGCCGAGCGAAATGCAATGCTCTACCAAGCGAAATGCAACGCTCTGCCGAGCGAGCGAAATGCATGATTTGTACTTTACTAACGACATATGTGTGTGGTAATTGGAGCGCAGAGGCTTACATGGATGGTATTGAAATCGGCAGGCGCAGGGCGAGCGCAGAGTTTGCATATCCTCCTAAGAAACAAAGAGACATCACCACAAGAATTATTAGCACAAGTAGCAGACACTGGTGGAGATTTTTCAATTAAAGGGGAATCCGGAAATGCTGGAACCAAAGTTATTAGTTATTATAGGTTACCAAAAGAGGAAAGCATTAGGGACAGGGTCAATACTTTATTCGTGGTTGCCACACTTGTTGCCACAGTGACATTTGCAGCCGCTTTCGCAATTCCAGGAGGCTACAACAATTCTGGCCCTCAAGATGGCATGGCAACCTTGCTAACAAAATATATGTTCCAAGCCTTTGTGATTTTTAACACCATAGCTATGTATAGTGCCATCCTTGTTGCAGTCTGTCTCATTTGGGCACAGTTGGGGGATTTAAACTAGGTGCACACAGCTCTTCGTTTTGCATTGCCGCTGTTGGCGATTGCACTTACGACGTTGTCCTTAGCCTTCATGACTGGGGTATGCGGTAGTTATCAATCTTCATTGGCTTGCCTATGTTGTATTGATCCCGGGGATCCTTTTCATTTTCACTGTCTTAGTAGTTTTCACTCCACTCTTCTTTGAAACTACATCTAGGTTTCGCATCATTCGTTACATCACTTATTATCCCTTTTGTATGGAAGTACTGGCTTCTCAAAGTCACAACGATGACCAAGAAGAGGACTGATATCCTTAATTGCGGGACCAAGTTAATTGTAATAAGCTTACTGTACGATGGGCATTGAAACTTCTCATTTTGGAATGTTTAGGTTGTACTTCTTTTGTTTCATGTACCTCTTTATCTTGTTGTTAAGAACGTACGTTGTGAGAATTTATATAATTATAAATTGTGTCACTTATTGTGATAATAGTGTTTGTTTTCTTAAGTTCATGGAAGTAATACATAGAAGTGAGAAGTACGTAGAAAAATTCCATTGTTCTGTTTTTCTTCTAGAAAAGTGTTGATTGCTTGGTCTCATGAGTAATTGAAACAAGAAGACGGATGATCATCAAACAAACATATGTAGAGATTAGTCCACTACTCTACATCCAGACTCTGATACATTTTTTCAGAGATGGCGAATTCCATGACATGTTCCGGGGCAATCTCTCCCCCCCCCCCCCCCCCCCCCCCCCCAAAAGCCCAAAAACCACCATCTTCACCAAATCGGTGGTAGGGCCAGTCAAGATCGTCATCCCTGGTTGTGAACAAGGCATCACCGGCTTTGCATACCGTATTCATGGGACACAATACAGCGCAATTCCGCATCCCCATACCCTTTCTCCTCATACTCTCTTTGTATTGCCTCATACTTTGTCTGCTGCCACCCCCTATATTCATCAAACCGATCATCCCTAACACCGAACACAAGCTTGATCATATGCTCTGGTTTCAAATTCTCATCCACCGCCACTTGAAGAAGCAAATCAAGCAGCGCCTCAAAATCAGTCTCGTCATCAATCCTGGTTTTTTTTCTCACAAACTCACCTAAGATCACTGCCTCGTATCGAAAGTAGCTCAGGTGCCTCATCAGAGTCGACAGCAATCAGTTTTCCTTTCCATGGCTCTTCACTCAGTTCAGACACCAAAAGTGTCAAAGCCACCGATGCCTCCCTGCTCCTTGTCTTGACTTTGTACTCCGGGTACATGTACCCGTCCCATACTGCAGCCAAGCATCTGCTCATCTTTCCTTGCTTTTTAAAGTCCTCCACCGTTGCCTTCCAATGAAGCTCAGCCGCTTGCCCCAAATCCCAATGGGTTGCGTAGCTTAGAATCTCATTAGGAAGCAAAGCATCGGCCACAGTCTTGGACTTGCCAGCTTTCACCTCCTCCAAATACTTCTCAACACTGAAGTGCATTTCTCTAGAAGTATTTGGAAGACGGTAGTAATTGACCAAGGGCACCAAAACCTCCTTCCTGAGCCGGTTTCGGACTCTGTCCACGTAATCAGCCTCCTCAACATCTTGGTATTCCGGGTATGATTCTCGCGGGAAAACCTTAACCGCAATGCTTTCCCACAGCAAAGTCGCGGTGCAGTTCTCGTAGCTAAACCAAAAGCAACAGGTTGCAGCACAAGTTATCTTCTCACAATCCTCCTGATCATCGTTGTGATTAATATCAGATTCCTTCAGTTTTTGCTTCTTCAGTTTTACAAGATCAGACTTCAAGCAATCCACGAAAACATCTGTAACCCGATCGTGCAACATCTGATAAGCCGGGTCACGCTTGTACCTCTCAGCAGCTTTCTTGGCCATGTCGAGAATCTTCTTTGTCCCCCTTCTCCCATCTCGGCCTTCTAGAACTCGGTATAGAATCTCTACAGTTCAGGAAAACGCCAGAACGACCCGGCAATAGATGGGATGTTCCGCAGTAGGATGTCGGGGTGGTTGTGGTGGAGCCAATAGGCGGCCGGGTAAAACGCTTCCTCATAGGATTTTCCATCACACTTTAGCTTCCTACAAATGAGCTTGAGGGTGGTTAGGGGATTGTGAGACCAGGCCAGCGGCAGCAGTTGCTTCAGATAGAGGCCTCCATCTCTGCTTTATTCATCTTTTTATTTTCATTCTCTCCATCGTCGTCTGTTTCGCCAACGTTGAAAAAGAGATCAAGGCAGGGGTTACCATTAGCAGTTGAATCCTTGTTCTGAGTCTGATCATCGATGGTGCTAGTAGTACTTAAGCCCCTAGGTGGAGTTGAATTTTGGGGTCACATCATATTAATTCTTGTGCTTGCTGTGGATTTAGATGTGGCTGTTTCATTCTTTAAACTGAGGTGATCCGGAGGAGCAGCAACAAGAGTTGTATAGTAATTAGGAGCCGCCATCAATCTCATTGTGAGTTGTGAAATGCCATTGAAATGGTTTTTGTTTGCTCTGAAAACTGACAGAACTTTTGCCATTGTCACAGGTATTTTCATCATTAATGTAACAAAGGAATTAATAATAAGTTAATTACTTTAGCGCCAAGAAAGACAACAGGCAATATTGGGACTGACAGAGATACTATTGCTATAAATATTTGCCCTATCAAAACCCTTTGATTAAGGCTGCATATAATTACCCTTACTTTCTCCCCAAGTTTTTGCATTGTTCCTATATTATTCATGAATCTCGAGCCCCTGCATTTACCAATTACGCATTTACATGCATTTAGTTTAATATAAACCATCGCAATAATCCAAAGGTTAAAAACATGCCATAATAATTCTTTTCACAGTCCTGTTCACCTAAGGACCTGAAAATGAGGTTCTGTAAGGACCAAATTCATCTTAACCACAAGATTATGTTTAGTTAGATCCAACCGCTTAAAAAAATTTCCAACTTAAGAGGTCAAAACCTTTTTTTTTTTATTGGGAACTTTTTTTTTCTTTCTAACTCCTTCGTCAATCCCATTCTCCCTCTAACTCTAATATACAACCGAGAGAAATATTAGCAGGGGGTTCCAAAAGTTAACACCAGGATGTAGTGGATTTTACTAGAGTAAGAGTTATATAAAGGGATTTGTGTATTGGGTTTGCTTTTCTTTGAAGTGTTGCAGACGTAGTTGACGTTTGGTGGAAATTGAGTTTGTTCTGAGTCAAACTCTGTATGGGTTTTGACCTGCAAATTATTCACATACTTTACCGCGTCACAACTCAGTTTTGGATCTAGACAAAACCATTTTTATTTGGCTACGAGGGTGTACAGTTCTTCTACTTTGAACTGATTTTCTCCCTTCTTTGTGTTTAACCAGATTGAATTATATCACACAAGCTTTCATATATTTTTCGCTACAGAAACGAATTCAAGGATGATGGGTCAGAATCAGATCAAATTTTGAAATCAAGGAAAACTCATCAATCATCTGAAACAAAAAATTGTGATGTTGTCATTCAGGAAGAGCACAATTGACCCAACCACGAAATTTGATTTCTATCGTAAATCAAAGAGGGAGAACGGCATTGTGGAATGAGTAAACCAATGTGAACTTGTTGGGAAGATAAAAAAGGTTTTGGCCTTTTAAGTTGGAAAACATTTTAAGTGGTTGGATTTAATTAAACATAATTTTGTGGTTAAGATGAATTTGGTCTTCACACAGGACCTCATTTTCATGTCCTTAGACGAGCAGGACTGATTCTTTTCATATTCCAATTTTTCATTGAACTCCTTGAAGAATACTAGCAGTCTTCTCTCTAACATTCTCTTTTGAACCTTCTTTCTTTTCCTCATGACATGTGTCACTATCTTTACACTTAAAACAATGTCATTAATGCATCACACAAGTTAATTTTTGTTTTCCAAGTTTATCCTTATTAAATATATTGGTTTTTTTACAACTTTATTGGCACCTTATTAAAATAAATAAATAAGAAAAATGACAATTTTATTTATTTATTTTAAAAGTGTCCTCTCTTTTTTTCAAAGATAACGTTTGTTTTTTATTTCCACAACAAAAATTATATCACTTCCATGAATAGTCTTTTGACCAAAAAGATGTTTTAAAGATATTATTTTTCAGGTAGTTAAATGCTAAGATAAGGAAGAAAAAAAAACATAACACTAAAACATAAATTTCAATAACAATAAACATATCAGTAAAAGAAACTAGTTTATTAGCAACATCTGTTTTCTAGAAAGAAAAAAACAAACGGACATTAAACAAAAATTGACGTTTAAAGTAACAAAGGTGATAAGAAAGAAAGTTTTAAAAAGACTAACTTCTTGTAAAAAAAAAAAATTGTTAATATATTTAATACGAGTAAATTTGAAAAAACAAAAATTAGCTTGTGTGATACATTAATGACATTTTTTTATTTTTTTATTTTCCTTTGGTTTTGCAAAGTTTAGGGGGGAAGAGAGGCTACCTCATCGTAGGGCCAGGGCATACTAAAGCCTATTTCAGGACTTAGAGAAGGGGGTCTTAGTCCTTTTTTGGTTTTTACAGATTACCCACCAAGAGGGTTTGTTAAAAGCTGGACTCAAATATAAGCCTTGATAGAGAGGAAAACAATCCTTACCAACTCAACAAACCCTCGTTGGCTTAATAACATTGTTTTAAGTGTAAAGAAAGTGGCACATGTCATGAGTTGAAAGGAGAAGGTCCAAAAAAGAAGATTAAAGAGAAGATTGCTAGCATCCCCTAAATCCTTTCAGCTTTCATGCCATGACAAACCCTTAAAAAAGAAAACAAATAATTATCCCATTTCATCATGTACATGTGCGCATGATGCATAACATGTGACTATGCTTCCAAGTTCCCCACCATTAGCAATTGGTTCATGAAGGAAGAAAGAAAGGTTCCTTTAAATCTTGAGTCGAGCAATATTTTGACTATAATCTTGGGAAAGCAGAGGAATATGAACTCATTCCTAATTAGTAGGGGTGGGCTTTTCATCTTAATTATCCGCGTACCGACTGTATTGTACCGACGGTTTGGTTTAGTTTGGTCAAATAATTATTGTTTAATTTTAATTATTCCAATCCGATATGTACCAAAATGTTTGGTTTGGTTAACGGAAACAAAATTTCCTAACCCAACAGAAACCCGTACCGATCCGATATTTATACTTATTTTATTATTTAAATACAAAACAAGAAACCAAAGGTAAATACAATCAGCATTTTGTATCACTCATTTATCATTACTGTATCACTTCTTTCTCACTCTTGTATCACTGCTTTATCACCATTTTATCACTACTTTATCACCACTATATCACTTCTTTATCACCATTGTATCACTTACCCGGGTATTGTAGCATTTTTTGGTCAAAGAGGAATTTATGAACTTCCTATGTTTTCCAGTTTTGACCTTTGTCCCGTTTTTTAATGGTAACTTTCCAACTGTTGATCCAAATTTTATGTTCTTTATATGGTTGGATTTAGCATGAAAAACTAAAGAACCCAATGCAGAACAAATGTCAAAATCATTTACATAAATGTAGAGAATTCAATAAAAAGAACACTTAAAGATTCAAACAACAAACACAAGTGGCTCATAGTACATCTTGAGTACATCTTGAGTACATATTGAATGATATAGTGACTAAGTTATTTGATTTCATACTTGGATGAATTAGACTGAGTTTTTATCAATAATAGCCAAAATTTATACCCAAAATTAATCAATGTCAATTTTTATAAAAACTTTCAAATATAGCCAAAAATCCACTTAAATTGACACAAATACCCTCAAAATTAAAATATAATTACCCATAAAACCAACCTCTTCGCATTATCTATATTACTAAAACAACAAAACAAAAAGAGGAATTTTTTTCCACAAACAAAGACTAAAGTCCCAATTATGCTGCTTCTTAATTATCACCACAAACACAAACATAGAACCTCAAAGATTGACCATGAAGAAATTCAAAATCCCATTTTGTTTTTGCTCGACTTTTGTAGATCTAAAACTTCCCCTCTCTAATAATAAAAAACCTTCAACCAAAAACAATGGAACCCATATCAAGAGAAACACAGCAAAATCGCAACAATATTTGCCTTCTGTTGGTTTTTATGTTCCAAAAGAATACAAACACAATTCATTTTATTTAATTTAAGAGAGTGCAAGGGAGATATTATTATATTAATACAATTTGAAATTAAAAGGAAAAATCACATACGACAATGCAGAAGTATTTTATTCAACATCAGATAAAGGATTGGAAAAATATGGTATTTTAGTTTTAGGGTGAGAGAAGAAAGAAAAGCGATTGAATTTGTCAAGTCCATCAAACTTGAAATAAAATTGGGGTTTTGAGTTTTTAAGTAGAGTTTAGGGTCCATCACCATAACTGGCCACCATAGTTGTGAGTAAGCTTGGGCACCGTAGTTGTGAGTTATTTTATTTGTAAGTTTTTTGTTATTTGGTTTAATTTTGAGGGTATTTGTGTTAATTTAAATGAGTTTTTTGCTATATTTGAAAGTTTTTATAAAAACTGACATTTATGAAATTGGGGTATAAATTTTTGCTATTATTGATAAAAACTCAATTAGACTATTAGACTTTTATATTTTACAAGGACAATTTGGTGTATTTGTTCAAGAACTTATGTTATGTGAAAATATTGTATTTTTATTAGTATGTTTTTATTATGGTACTACCGGTGTATTGGCCAATCCAAACTGAATATTAGGTTAACCAATCCGAAGTCTACTGAAGTCTTTGATTTACTTAACGGAAGAGCCTTCTACCGTTCTGAACTGATCCATGCCCAAGGCTACTAATTAGTATATTTAATCATCCGTACACCAATTATTGATGCTTAAGCAAGTATTTAAAACTATGTAAGGAATGATACTTTTCTTTGATGAGATTCACGCGGTTTCAAACATCTCTTTTCGCGTTAGGTATACATGCATAAATCATTTGACTCACTTGTGAGTTTCATGACAAATTGACAATGCTATTTACTTCAAGATCAAGAAAAGGGCTAAAAGTGGAATAATTGTTTGTTGATTATAACAACGCGTGACATCTCTCCACAGAATGTCATATCACGAATTCACTTAAAATTATAGTGTGCTCTGTAATTTGAGTATAACACATTTACATTATTAGTAATCTAATTAAATTGATAACACAATCACACTTTATCTTTGATGTCTATCATGTTTACACGCAAAAAGAAAAACATAAAAAAAACAAACGAAAAAAAGGAGAAAAAGAAAGAAAGCAACCAAGTCAATCAGTGGAGGGCGACGCTATCAGCCAAAACCAGAAAAGAAACTACAGAGACTCTTCCTTTTGTGTAAGGAAACTTCCCAGAACCAGCCTCCACCAGTATATCCATCTGTCTCTCTCACAAAGACTCAAGACTTTTTACTCCATTAGCAAGTTGCCAACTTGCAACAACAACAACCAACCTTTGCCAAGTTACCACTTTAGCCCTTTGGACTTCTCCGCCCACTGACATCTTCAACTCAGAAAATGCTCCTCAGCAGCACCTTCAACTCAGAAATGTCTCTCTAAGAGGTTCCAATTCTTTCTTCTTTCTTTTTTTTTAGCTTGCGAAGTTTTCATGTCTTCGGTCTTTTCTGAAAATTGGGTATTAGGGATTGGGGCTATATTTTTTATATATTTGTCGGTGAGCTGTAAAAAGTCTGCATCTTTCTCTGACTTTGAGTCAAGTGGGAGAGAATATAAAATGTGGGTTGTGAAAAGTTTGGGTCTTGTTAGATAATAATTATGAATTCGAACAAGAAACTAGATATCTGGTTTTAGGGTGCAAATGATTTCTTTGTTTTACATTCTTTTTGCCCTGAAAATGTGCTGATATCTTCTGGGTTATGTTCTTACGTTTCACTAATCCCAATATGAAGAAGTCTGAATATTTCCAGCATTATCGAATTCAACCCCATTTCTTTGCCTGTGAATGAGGCTTGGGATAGATAGTTGGTCCTGGTTGTCTTAAACTTTTTGTTCAATTTTCTTGAGAATATTTTTTGTTTTTTGTTTTTTGTTTTTTTTTGTCTTTATTTCACAATTCTGTTTCTTGACGTTATATTCAAATCAGAATATGAAGCAAATAGGATTGGTTGTTTTAGTTACTTTTTCCATATATGATCCTTTTATAATGATTGTTAGATTAATAGAACAAGCCTTTCAAGGTGTGAACTCCATGGGAGATTGATTTATAACATTTACTTAATTTTTGTCTGTTGAATGTGTAGTGTTCCTGTAGAATATACAATTGATGGGTGGGATAATTTCGAAACGTGCTACTTCGAGACAGCCTTCTTTTCGGTCTGGATCGCATTCTTGGAGTCAACAAAGTTATCCAGAGGTGCCATATGCACAACCATATGCACCACCAAGCCAAGACTATGGGCAACAGCAGCATTTTGCACCACCACCTCAAAGCCACGGCAGTGCTTGGCCAGGGTCGAAAAAGAGGTTGGAAAGGAAGTATTCAAAAATAGATGATGATTACAACAGCCTGGAGCAGGTAACTGAACTGATGCAATTGCAGAACATAAAAAGTACAGTCAATTTCTTTTATCTGGTGGAGAGCTTTCTTTTAGTCAGAATGTACTCAACTGTTGTCTTCAAGTGGAATAGTTCATCTCAAGATGTTTTTTTTATATATCCCTCTTCTCTCTCTCTGAACATGAAAAAAAAAAAGACTACGTGCATTTTTATATTCTTATCATCTGTCTTTGAAGCAAATATGATTTCAGATCGTTGTAATTGCTAATGTCACTTGAGTAATTATGATGACATTCTGTATTACTCTCATCTTTTGATAGGTCACAGATGCATTGGCACGTGCTGGTTTGGAGTCATCCAATCTTATTGTGGGCATTGATTTCACAAAGAGCAACGAGTGGACAGGTTTTCCCTGGTCTGGGTGCTTAGAAGTCTTTTTATCAGTTATAGTGAAACATTCTTAACCTACTTTTGTACCAGGTGCAAGGTCATTTCATCGGAAAAGCTTGCATCACATTGGAGAAGAGCAAAATCCCTATGAACAGGCAATATCAATTATAGGGAAAACATTGTCTTCCTTTGATGAAGATAACTTGATTCCCTGTTTTGGATTTGGAGATGGTATTTCATCTAACGGTTGTCTCATTCTTCAAATTTAGCCTTTTGACAATAGAGTTTTGATATGATTTCATATATTTGCAGCATCAACCCATGACCAAGAAGTTTTCAGTTTCTACCCAGATGAGGGATATTTTTGCAATGGATTTGAAGAAGTATTAAGACGATATAGAGAATTAGTCCCTCAGCTACGACTTGCCGGTTGCAATTTGTTTTACTCCCTTTTCCCTTGTTTTTCTTGGTTGATTATTTGCTTATGGAGATTCATACCCTTCTTTTCTTGTGACAGGGCCCACATCATTTGCCCCTATTATTGAAATGGCCATTACTATTGTTGAGCAAAGTGGTGGTCAGTACCATGTGTTGGTGATAATAGCTGATGGACAGGTACATTGTTTTTGGTTATATCTTATAGTTATACCTGTCCGAGAATTCTCTGATCAAGCAGCAAAGGCTTTGCATAGTGATATGATTTCTTGTGTTAAATTATTAAAGGAGACTGAAAATTGTCACAGGTGACCAGGAGTGTTGATACAGAGCGCGGCCAGTTAAGCCCACAGGAAAGGAAAACTGTTGAAGCAATTGTGAAAGCAAGGTAAATTCTTAGACTTGTTACCTTGGTCTTATTCTTTTTGCCAATCTATTTTATGATGTACTTGTTATATTGTAGTGAGTATCCCTTATCAATTATACTAGTTGGAGTTGGAGATGGGCCGTGGGATATGATGAAGGAATTTGATGATAACATCCCTGCTCGGGCCTTCGATAACTTTCAGGCAAGTATAGCGGATATCATCTTGATGGAGTATGTAAACTTTCATGTCTCTTATCTTTTCAAACTTTAACTGAAAGTTGCTGCTTTCTTTTGTCTTCTGTAGTTTGTGAATTTTACAGAAATTATGACAAAGAATATGGATCGTTCGAGAAAAGAAGCAGAATTTGCTCTTGCAGCATTGATGGAAATACCCTCCCAGTATAAAGCAACCCTCGAGCTTAATATATTAGGGTAATAATCTAACTCCTGTCTAGTGGGGTTTGAGGGATTTGCTATTGCAGCTGGGAGCCTGGGTGACATAAATTCATTTGCAAATCATCCTTTCCTTTCATTGCTTATGTAGTTCTACAAGTGGGAAGGCTGTAGATAGGGTACCTCTTCCCCCTCCTCATTATGGTTCGGCTTCTTTTAGCATGCCAAAACCGTCACAATCAAGTAATTTTCGTCCAAGTGCACCATCCAGGCAACGTGATGAGTTTGTTAGCACAGCACGTCCTGCAAGTTCAGCTTCTGATAATCATGTACTTGCCCTCTTTCTACTTCTGTAGTTGAGCTGCATTTGTTTCTAGCATAATTATCATGCTGTGCCACTGAATCTTTTGATGAGTAGGCTTAGCATACGTCATGGACATCAAATACTTATATTTTTGTGATTCTAACAGGTCTGTCCCATTTGCCTAACCGATCCGAAGAATATGGCATTTGGTTGTGGACATCAGGTAATCCATCTATACGTTGTTTACACCTTAAAGAATTGCATGCAAGAATGAATACCTGAGTTGGACTTCAATATAATTTGCAGACATGCTGTGACTGTGGACAAGATCTTCAATTATGTCCCATTTGCAGAAGCACCATTGAAACCCGAATAAAGCTCTATTAAGTGTTAATCCGCCTGAAATTTGGACCATTGCAACTTCAACTCCAAGACTTTCAATTCGTTACAATTTTCTTTCATTGAGAGGAACTCGGCCCCTTGTACATATCTTCAGTTTTTTTGGATTCCAGGGAATATTTCTCCATGCATCATGCCCAATAGCTTAAGCAGCTACAGAACGAAGACCTCTACTTTTGAGGTCTTGGCTGGCATAGGACACTCGCTGTTAGACTTGCTGCTATGGCTAGTTCAGTGTTTGTTTGAATTTTGTTGCTTGTCGTTTCTTTTTTTTCTTTCTACTTGTTTCTACTTTTGCCCAATTAAATTCAACATGTAACAAGTAGTTTTATGGCTCCATATATATGTACACAAGATATACCTTATATAACCAGTCAGTAAAGTTCACCTCGTGGCTCATCTACAGAGGACCTCTCAGCTATGGCATGTCATTCTGAGACCAAGTGATGAATAAACGGCATGTCATTTTTATGTCCAACACAAACACGAAATTGACATGTCGTGCGTCAACTTTTCTGGCTGGGATTCTTAGCCCCAAGCCAAAGGCCATTGGCTATTTGTTAGCAGAGCTGAGAAAGCTGCAAATTCAATAACATTTTTACCCTACACTTTGTCCAAGTTTGGCGGAGTCTTGTGCCATCAGCCAAAGACTAACTCTTCAAAAGCATGGTTGAACCACTGATATTTTGCAAGCCAATTGCCAATTTCACCCCTTGATTGCAAGAAAACCGAACAAGCAGCACACTAGATGATTGCAAGAAAACCACACACGCTAATAATAAAATAAGCTTCCACTCTTTCACAGCAAGACTGTTTCATAAAATTCTACTACTTCTAGGGACTGGGCAAACTAAATTTTAGCAAACAAGTCTATATATAAAAAAAAAGACTTAAAACTCTTCCCACATCAGTCATACACATAGAAAGTACACTCTCACTCTCCCATGGCGCAGCACAATCACTTTCTCATTGCTATCAAATCCATGATCACTGCTTTGTTCTTCACATTACATTGTATTGGGTTTAGTGGTGCAGTCGGGAGGTTCTCTGCTGTAGGCCGGAAAGGGCAATGGCAGCTGCTGCTAAACAGCACCGGCGTAGTGGCTATGCATATGGCATTGACACACGACAACACTGTCGTTATATTTGATCAAACAGAAGCTGGCCCCTCGGGGTACAGGCTTCGAAGGCGCCACAATGGAAACAGATGCACAGAGAGCCGTGACGATTTAGCAGACTCATCCTGCTATGCTCACTCCGTGGAGTATGACATTTCAAGCAACAAAGTTAGACCTCTGAGGCTTTACACTGATACCTGGTGCTCCTCAGGCTCTTTCTTGAGCAACGGGACACTTCTACAAACGGGTGGATATGGAAGTGGCACTCGAAGAATTCGATACTTCAAGCCTTGTGGGGATGGCCAGTGTGATTGGAGGCAATCGGAGAGATCACTGGCTGATGATCGTTGGTACGCTTCCAATCAATTGCTCCCAGAACATGATAGGATCATTGTGGTTGGTGGAAGAAGGACCTTTACTTATGAATTTGTACCAAAAATGTCTTCCAATGAAGGCTCCCATGATCTATCATTCTTGCACCAAACTTATGACAGAAGTGAAGGAGGGAACAACCTCTATCCCTTCCTTCACCTCTCTTCAGATGGAAATTTGTTCATCTTTGCCAACCGGGACTCCATTCTCTTCAATTACAGAAGTAACATAGTGATCAAGACCTTCCCTCGAATACCCGGTGATGGCTCTAGGAACTATCCAGGCTCTGGCTCATCAGTGATCCTCCCATTAGACCACACAAACAATTTCCAAAGAGTGGAAGTCATGGTGTGTGGTGGTGCTGCCTCTGGAGCCCACAGAGCAGCAGGACAAAACAGATTCTTGAAAGGCCTAAGCTCCTGTGGAAGAATGGTGATCACAGGCAACAGACACAAGTGGAACATGGAGAACATGCCGGGCTCACGTCTTCTCAGCGACATTCTGATCCTCCCAACTGGGAATGTTTTGATCATCAATGGTGCCAAAAGAGGCTCTGGAGGATGGAACAATGCAAGAAATGCTTCCCTCCAGCCTTACCACTACAACCCAAATCACAAATTAGGCAAAAGATTCTCTGTCCTCAAGTCCACAAAAATTGCTAGAATGTATCACTCCTCGGCCATTCTTTTACCTGATGGGAGGGTCTTGGTTGGTGGAGGCAACCCTCATGAAAGCTACACTTTCAGCAATGTGGCCTACCCAACTGAACTTAGGCTCCAAGCATTTGCCCCACACTACATGGGAAGGGAATACCATACATATAGACCTATAAATTTGACCATAAACTATGGCCATGGTGATCTCTCTGGTGTAAGGTATGGGGGAGATTTTAATGTGAGCTTTTGGTTGGGGAGGAAGCCAAGCAAAGTGGTGGAGTTTAGTGCTTATGCACCACCATTCACAACGCACTCCATATCCATGAACCAGAGGTTGCTGAAATTGAGGTGCAAGAGATTGGTGTGGGCTGAAGGTGGATTGGTGCATGCAGTTTTGGAGGCTCCCCCATCTCCTAATGTTGCTCCCTCTGGTTATTATATGCTCACTGTTGTGAATGGTGGAATTCCTAGCATATCTCAGTGGGTTAGGTTCCTACATCAGTGAAGACTTTGAGGTCCTTTCCTTTTAATTAGTACTACAAAATCCCAAAAATGTTAGATGGGGCTGAGAATAATTCATGTAAAATAACATGCCAACACAGTTAAAAAAATTACCCCAATTAATATAGAAGCTTTAATTTCATATAACCAAAGGTGTCTAGTATGATGGCAGATGATATCGACGTTGGTCCATTTACATGTGATTGGTTTCAAGGTCATGAACGTCTATGTCATATATAATTAGAGTGAGGAAGGTTTAGCTGCCTAATTACCTCTGGTTGGAAGCATATCCTAATACGGCTTCCCAAGATAACCACGAGAAATTTTTGTAAGACGGTTCGATTTTTTATGTTAGGCTACTAATCTGAAATATTGATAAATGTGGGACCGGGATTAAAACATGTTAGACTATTTAACACGAGAACTTCAGATGCTATAATTCATAACACAGTAAATGTTACTCTCTGTAAAATAACCTTAATGTGAGTTTGTGACTACTTTTGAAGGATTGATTTCTCTGATAGTGAGATCCTACTCTGATTAAGCATATAGGAACCTTAATACATCACGGACTCATTAAATACCATCACCAAAAATTTCAGCTGCATTCATTACACCTGAACTACTTTTTGTTCACTTTTTAAATTGTCAATTTCATTTTGAGAGAGACTTACAACTCCTCTATCTAATATTCCACCATAACCATTTCCACTCAAAATGGCTTCAGTCTCAGAACTTGCTTACCAAAGGCTGAGAAACGAAGGTCTCTTTGAGGAAGAACCAGAGCAAAACAGAGCAGTTATATTCAAGAAGACAAGTGGTGGGTGGTCCAATATCAGGAAGCTAACTGGTAGGAGGAGGCCACGGGTTCGGTTTGCGGGCTTGAGGAGGTTTCTGAGGAGAAGAGCTAGGCTTTTCACAAGGATCGAACTTTCATGGAGCAAAGCTTTGAAGAGGTTGAAGAATGGGCAGGCTCACATGAACGACTTGTTTGGTGGGAACTATTTGTTCATGCAGGCCAACCCTCTTCCTTTCAAGTGTGGTGAGAGGACTTATAATTTAGGTCATGGTGGCGGCCTTCACGGCAGTTTGCCCTCAAGGTATTCTGTTGGAAGAATGGTTTGAGCATAATTATTTATAAAGATTAATGAGAAATTCCCTATAGCAATGCTATGTGCATGGTGAGGGTGTATATTAATTAATTATTAATGTTTTTGTTGTAATTAAATTGAAATTAAATATATATATATATATATATATATAAGAGAGAGAGAGAGAAATTTTCCTATGCAGTTAGGAGTGGAACCACTTATTATAAGTTGTAATTTATTTAGTCAAGTTTTCGATGTGAGACTTTATATTCTTCAACAATATGCATGCATTGTAGAAAGGATCTCTCTACCGACATATGTATTGAAAGAAATAAAAAAACTAATTTTATTATAATAAAAAAGAGCAGCTATTGTTGATACAACTTGTTATGCAATACTGTTGTAAGTATAACAATACATATTAAATCAAATCTTAAAGGGGTTGCAAGTTCTTGTAACAAATAAATCTACACCCTTTTTCCCAAAAAAAAAAAAAAAAAAAAAAAAAACAATGATCAAGATCTCTCTTTTCTTTTCTTATATCCCTTCTCTCATTCATTTCGTTTTTGGTCGCAACACTCCTTTTGCATTATTGGCTCCAAGATCTTTCCTGCTAAAAGATAAAATGGCATATTATCCATTGAAAGAAACTAATTTATTAATTTCTTTTACAATCTCTTATTGTAGTTGGACAAAAATTATTGCAAGATTTATTCGAGATTCATTCTAGCGAGATAATTTGAGTGAGAGAATATTAATTCATTGCACACATGAATTTAGCCAAGTTGGTTAGAGTGGATGTGCTCCTCACTTTGCACCTGAGTTTGAATCCTCCTTCCCGTAATTTAGATTAGTTTAAGTAAAATATCGTTTATATTAATTAAAAAAAATAAAAAAATAAAAAAATTAATTCATTTGTATTATAACACGCATATAAAAAATAAGATAAATTGTGAGTGTAACAACCACGCTATTAATTAATCCATTCATATTATAATAGTATCAAAAAATTAGATAATATTGTTGCGCATAATTTTACATTTAACAAATTTAAAAGCCCAAAATGCTCACATAATTTTCTTATGTTATATTTTTACCGGGAAAGGATCAAAGAGCCGTTAAACCAACGAACTTTGAAATTTTTGAGAAAAATGAGACCAACAACGGTCACCAAAAACCATCCGAACAACAAAGCAGATGGAGCTGCCTCTCTGCTAAAAGCTTGCACATCGCTTCGCCACCTTAAGCAAATCCACGCCCATATCGTCCGGTCCATTCTCCATCGAAACGCCTCCTTAGCCTCCACTTTAATCTCTCTCTATGCCTCTCTCTCCTCTTCGCCTCGATATACCCACCTCGTCTTTACCTCTTTCGCGAACCCAAATCTCTCTCTCTTCAACCACGCCATTAGAGCTTTCTCTAAGACCTCGTCGCTCTGTGCCGAAGCGAGAAGTTTGTATTCTCAGATGGTTTGCCTTGGAATAAGCCCCGATAACTATACGTACCCTTTTGTGCTTAACTCGTGTGCCGCGTTAAATGATCTTTGTGCTGGGATTGAGGTCCATGGACGCGTTGTTAAAATGGGTTTTGGCTTTTGTGTTCCGGTTTCAAATGCTTTGATTGATATGTATGGAAAATGTGGGGAATTGGAGAGGGCTCGGATGGTGTTCGATGAAATGTCTGAGAGAGATGTTGTTTCTTACAATGCCCTTTTAGGGGCTCATGCGAGAGGTGGGGTGGATATGGAGGATGCCTCAGTTTTGTTTGAGGGAATGCTGGGAAAAAATGTTATATCTTGGAATGCGATGATTGTGGGTTATGTAAATAGTGGGGATCTGGTTTCAGCGAGGGCTGTGTTTGATAGGATGCCCGAGAGGAATGTTGTTTCTTGGACTACGATGTTGGTGGGGTATACTAAAAGTGGGCTTATTGATCAAGCAAGGGGCCTCTTTGATGAAATGCCTGAACAAAGTTTGATTTGTTGGACGGCCCTGATTTCAGGGTATTCACAAAATGGGAGACCAAGCGAAGCGCTTTCACTTTTCCAGAGAATGGAAAAGGCACCAGTAAAGCCAGATGCTTTCACCATGACAGCTGTGATTTCTGCATTGGCACAATTGGGCCGTGCAGATCTGGCAAATTGGATTGGGTCATATGTGGATCGAGAAGGCATAGAACAGAATGAACAAGTGCTTACTGCACTAGTTGATATGCATGCCAAGTGTGGGAATATGGAAGAGGCATGTGGTATATTTGAGAAGATCCCCCGAAAGGATGTTTTCTCGTATAGTGCATTAATCACAGGCCTTGCTTCTCATGGTCATGGGGTTAAAGCGCTTGAGATCTTCCAGAGAATGCTAGCAGAAAATATTGAACCTGATGGCATCACATTTGTAGGGGTATTCACTGCCTGCTGCCATGCAGGACTCGTTGAAGATGGAATGAAGTACTGGGAAAACATGGTTGAAGATTACAATATTGAGCCTGATGCTGATCACTACACCTGCGTGGTCGATATGCTGGGACGTGCTGGGAAACTCAATGAGGCTCACAATATGGTAAAGAGCATGCCTATGGGACCTCAGCCTGGAGCATTAGGAGCTCTGCTTGCTGCATGTAGAACATACGGAAATGTCAAGATTGCAGAAAGTGTTGCCGAGAAACTCTTCGTGTTAGAACCTGGCAATACTGGAAATTATATGCTACTTTCAAGTATCTATGCATCAACAGAACAATGGGATGAAGCCAGAAAGGTGCGGGAAGCAATGAACGAGAGAAGTGCAACTAAGATTCCTGGGTGCAGTTGGGTTGAAATTAGCAAAGGTCATGCAGCACAAATGAAGAACCAAATTTAAACGGAATTCCATGGTAGAATTCTGCCATGCTGTTTTCGTTGAATTGAATTATAAATGCACACTTTCTGTTGCTAGTGCAAGACTGGATTTAAGTTGTCGATACAATGAGGTATTTATGTTTCATTCTTACAACTTGGTCAGTATTTGGTCTGAGATGATTGTCAATCCCTAGCCCCAAGATAAACAGAAGAGTTTAAAGGGAATGCAACAATAACTAAACATCGTGCTGCCAGTTACAGACAATGCAGTGCCGGAACTCCTCGCTATTCAACAAAATCCTGGCAGACTTTGTTCTCTTCAGTCATGCTTAAGCTTCCATTCATCAAGGCATTAAATCCTCTTGATTCTTGTATGCTTCCAGGTAGTAAGGAAGAGCAGATACCCTGACTGGTGAGCACCCTATGTTGTCTCCTTGTCCCCTTACCCCAGGACAGGCCCTGCTTACACATATTAACCAAGAGCAGCTACCAAGGAAATGTAATTTCTATCACTTCTGGCAACATGTCAGCCAGCTACCAAGTCTAAAAATGCCGTGTTCTGGTATGGGATGTGAACTGACTTTTTCAGTATCTTTGTTTTACAGGAGAGAATTGTGTATGGAAGATCATCATTGCAGGGAATAGAAAAGTAGTGGACATGTACAGTGTTAATTATTTGCAAAGTGTTTTTTGGAATAAGGAACTTGCTGCAATCAATCGTCTTATGTTGTGTATTATATCTTTTGAATGGTATCAAATGATTATTATCTGTGATAATTTACATGTCTTTATGTATCTGCAAAGAAATTATATTTCTGAACATTGTTGAATATCAAGTGAACTGCAGCAATTGTGGTTACAACTGCAAGGAGAGAAAAAATAATAATGTTGAACCAATGCCATAAATTCTTCTCTGGTCTAGCTGTCTTTCCCTTGATCTGTGAGAAAAGAAAGCCAAAAATATAGCAACTTAGGTTTTATAATCTTTCATTTTGTCCTGATTATGATGCAGTATCTTTTGGTGGGGGGTGGCATGTGAGGCAAGAAAGGAAGGGCACAGTATAGCAAAGTTACCTTGATGAAAATCATGCTTGGGAACACAAAAGTCAGAGGAACAAGTGAAAATGATCCAAACAAGTTCACGAAGTCTCCCATGAAAGGAATAGCTGAGGTCACAAATGTATTAGCTATGAAGAAGAAGGCTCATAGGAAGAATTTGCGCTTCAAATTTTCTTTTGTGTTCATGCACTTATCGAGTTTGAGGAACTTGGTATCAATGGCCTCATGAATTGGCGTAACGAACATCTGTTGAGGTAAACTGAAGTTCAGTTGAAAAGTAAGTCTTCTGCAGTGATATGTATGAGAACAGAAGAGAACGTGCATGGTGGGAAGAATGAAAAGAACCCTAACCCTAAGAATAATGACACATTCATCATCAGTATATGGCTTACATGTTGGGAGACTATGGATTGTAGAAAGACAGCAGCATTTATAAGAACCTTAGCCCATTTAGGACCACTTAGCTCATTAGGAAGGTTTTCAGATACTTTTGAGCCACAAGCCCAGTAAAATAAGATCCCCCCACTAAACTGCACATATAATGCTTTCTTCATATTTGTGACTGCTGGCTTCCGCAGAGTTGACTTCATATACCAAAAAGATAAAAACATCAGAATTAGAATCTTTACTGTTTTTTGCACCATTAGTTTCTCACAGAATCTATTCTAGAGGTATGAACCTGTGTTTCCGGTAGCAAGCCGGTGTTGCTGGATAGATTATAGCTGAAATTGCATTGAAGGCATTGAACAAACTGTTACTTTGTTTCCGTGGATTGCATAATCTCTCTGTTTGTTAGTCTTCCCTTCAGAAGAAGAATTGCATGTGTTAGTAAGCGTTGTAAAATTCATGTATATTGTACTATTACAGTATTATTTGACATGAAATTATGAAAGGGTTGAAAATAAAAGAAATGGGAAAACAGAGGTTTTCTGTGTACCATCTTTAACCACCACCACCAAGAGTATGGCAATGTAAGCGAAGGTGACGATGGTAGAGGCTTCCAGCCAACCTCTCATTGCAGAAATTATTGGAATAAAAAATGCAAATATGAAGAACGTCACTCCGGTGACCATTGGAGCCTCAATGGAGAGTGACTGAATTCTGAGTTGATTTCCTGTTTGCAGAGAAACATATCCTTTGAACATCCACCACCACTTCAATGCTCTAATTGCAGAAACACATACTCAGCATATTGAGTTAGAGCATACCTTCAGTGCTCTTCCACCAAGGAGAATGAAACCCATATTTCCTAGAAGTAGGGTCACAAATTGTAAAACCCAAGTGAAGTAACACATTTTTCTCCCTTAAAAAACACAGGGCCAAACAAAAATTCAAATTAAAAACACATCATATAATTTGTACTCAAGCATTTTTCGGTATCTTATGCGATGTACACATCGTATAAATATCCCATGAGATCTCTGTATCTGATGAACATCTGGCCATTGTTGAAGTGAAAAGCAGCCAAAAGCCAGTTGACATAGAGAGAATAGAACCCTACAACCACCATGCATACGACACCCCATGTCCAGCCCAATGGCACCAGCATAAGATTTGAGAAACTCAAAATGTATCGACAATTGAAGCTTGTTGCCAGCATGAAGCCAACTTGTTGCCATGAATCTGAAAGCAGAGGATTTTAGAGAACTTTTGGGTGATTTGTGAATGGAAACTTATGAATTGAACATACCAGGGCCAATGGTATGAGCAGATGGGAGGGAAAATTCATGATCTTGGTCACCCTTTATCTGGCCTTGTTCTATGCTCCAGGCTTCTTTCTTACCTTCTCCTTCCATTCATACGAGATCTTATATGTTAAAAAGAAAATCTAAAATGGGTTGTGATCTTTTTCTTCTCTTTTGTTAATGAAAATCAGAGACTGACAACAACTTTTCGATGTGTAACATGGAATTTTCATTGAAAATCAGAACAATTGTAGAAAATATCAAGATCCATATCCACATTCCCGCTTCAATAAATGCAGAAAGACACTTGAATTACCGGGAGCTATACATATTACTACAGTGTACCGGAGTCTCCGGCCAGAACCACACGTGCAAAGACAATCCATGCATGAAAGACAATTTCAAGTTCAACAGAGATCTTGACCATGGTCCTAATAGAATCAATTGGCTGCTTAAATAGCCCATGGTGTATGACCATCTGAAGAAAAAAGTATTGTGTGTATTCGATACACCATGTCGGCATTGCATGAATATTTTTTCTATTGTAAGGCATGATGACAGAATTAATATTTTCCTTTTGTAGATTTCCTTTGGTTACTTTAGATGTAAGCTGCCAAGTCTTCATGTATCTGCAATAATTTACACGTCTTCATGTATCTGAAATAACTTACATGTCTTCATCATCATCATGTATCTACAATAATTTACTATAGATGAATATTTTTGAAATGTATAATGCCTGTAATAATTTACATGTCTTCATGTATCTGCAAAGAAATGATATTTCTGAACATTGTTGACGATCAATCGAACAGCGGAAATTGTGGTCACAACAGCAAGGAGAGAAAAAATTACAATGTTGAACCAATGCCATAAATTCTTCTCTAGTCTAGCTGTCTTTCCTTTCACCTGTGAGAAAAGAAGAAAGCCAATAATATAGCAAGTTAGCTTGTGCTTTGTCCTGATTGTGGTGCGGTATAGCAATATTACCTTGATGAAAATCATGCTTGGGAACACGAAAGTTAGAGGAACAAGTGTGAATGATCCAAACAAGTTCACAAAGTTCCCCATGAAAGGAAAAGCTGCTGTCACAAATGAATTCACCGTGAAAAGAAGGGCTCGCATGTAGAATCTCCTCTTCAAGTTTTCTTTCGTGTTCATGCCGGTTTCGAGTTTGAGGAACTTGGTATCAAGGGCCTCATGAATTGGTGCAGCATACATCTGTTGAAGCAAAAAATGATGGAAGTTCAGTTGAAAAATATAAGCCTCTGCATGAAAAATCAAATGTACAGTCACTACGATTTTAGTGTACCATCATCAGCATGGCTTACATGTTGAGAGACTATGGATTGCAGGAAAACGGCGGCATTTATGAGGACCTTAACCGAATTAGGACCGCTTAGCTCTCCAGGAAGGTATTCAGAGACAGTTGAGCCATAAGCCCAGTATCCCACCATGATGACTCCATAGTAAAACACCAGCCCCACACTAAACTGCAGATATAAAGCTTTCCTCATATTTGAAACTGCAGGCTTGCGCAGAGTTGACTTCACAGACATAAAGCACGAAATATCAGAATTTTAAACTTTTTCTTTCGGGGTATATTTCTAGTGATTCTACCTGTATCTCTAGTAGCAGGCCGGAGGTGTTGCACACAATTATAGCTGAAATTGCACCAAAGGCATTAAACACTCTGTCTGCTTTGTTTCCATGGATTGCATAATCTCTCTTTGTGTTAGCTTTCCCTTCACAAGAATCATTGCATGAATGGTAAGCACTGGAAATTATATATGGAACATGATTCTGAAATTAGGAGAGGTTTTTAAATTAAAGAAGTTGAAAGAAAAAGGATTTTGTACCGTCTTTAACTACTACCACCAAGAGTATGACGATGTAAGTGAAAGTGAGAACGGTAGAGGGTCCGAGCCACCTTCTCATTGCAGACATTGTTGGAATTAGAAAGGAATAGATGAAGTAGGTCGCTCCAGTGACAACGATATAGTATTGGAGCCTCAGGGGAGAATCACTGAATTCTGAGTTAATCTCCTGTTTGTTTGCATGTCCTTTGAACTTCAGCCAACTTATAATTCTCATTGCAGAAAGCATATAATTAATACAGTGTTAGAGTTAATTAGTAATACCAATACTAATTACCTTGAGTGCTCTTCCTCCAAGTAGAATCAAACCCATATTTCCAAGAAGAAGGGTCAAGAACTGGGAAACCCATGTGATGTAATACATTTCTCTGCCTTCGAAATTTAAGACAGTGCAAAAACAAGATAAAAAAACAATCAGTTTCCTCTATAAGTTAATCATTTGTTGGTTAAATATGTTGCAAATGAAACTGACCAAACAAAAATCCCATGAGATCTCTGTATCTGATGAACCTTTGGCCATTGATGAAGTGAAAAGCAGCCAAAAGCCAGTTGGCATAGGCAGTATAGAACCCCACAACCAGCAGGCATATGATCCCCCATGTCCATCCCAAAGGCACCAACATAAGATTTGAAAAGCTCAATATGTACCCACAATTGAAGCTTGTCACCAGCATCAACCCAACTTGTTGCCATGAATCTGTAGGATTTTGTCATTCACTTTAAAGAGCATAATTCAACAATCCCATATAAGAAATTAATGCCTTGAAAACACAGACAAGAAATCAAATGACTTTCTTGCTTCTGTTAGAACTTGGTTTTAGCAAAAACCCAGATATGAAGAACAACAAAAAGCAGAGGCCTTCAGAAGACTTGAAACAATTTGTTAAAATTAATACACATTTGTATGGAAAAATCTAGAAGCTTGAAGTAAGTGCTATAAGCTTGATGGGAAGTCGGCAACTACATGCAATGTTGGAGAATTATCTAGAGAAAGCCACACATATGTGGCTGGGGTTAATCTTCCTTAGTCGGTGGACCAAGGTATGGCGGCGGATACATACATGTGATCATACAAGGTGGTGCAAAAAAGCTACCCAACCCAAGTCATATGGGGGGAGTACAACAAAAAAAACTCCCAGACTAAGGGAGAGCCAATAAGCTCACCAATCTAAGTGAATGGACAAATAGCCCAAACTAATCTAAGCAAGTGTGATAGCCAATAAGACAAAAAAACTGAGGCCAATTAGCCTACATAAGCTATGTATTATTCTCCTCCAAATATAATAAAATCACTTTGTTTAAACTATTGTCCTATTGTCCTAAACCCTTTTATCACATAAATCAACAACGGTATCAGAGCATCACAAACACTCATCACACACCTCCTAAAATTTTACTAACACAATTGAACATACCATGGCCAATTGTATGAGCAGAGGGGAGGTAAAATTCATGATCTTGGTCACCCCTTAATTGGCCTTGTTCAATGCTCAAAGCTTCTTTGTTGTTTGTTGTGATTTCTTCTCCTTCCATTGCAGCTACAAAGAATCTTAAACCTCATAAGCAAGTAAGCAAGACAAAGCTTCTTATTATAAAGATCCCCCATAGTGCTTTGAGTGCTTGATTTCCAATGTGAATCTTACTTATTATTTTATGAAGATCAAAGATAGCACTAAAAGTCAAGATCCAAATTTATCCCCACATGACCATTTCCCACCAAAATATATGCAGAAAGACAATTCATGCATTAAGGACAGAAATGTTACTTACGTAACCACATTGTCTTGATCATGATCCTTTTTATTGCATGGAGTGGACCCCATATCGTTGACTACACAGCCACTGTGCTGCAGAATGTTCTATGTGAAATATATGTAATATGTACTCAATCCTCATCAAGAGGCACCAATTTATAAATTTTAACTTGACATCAATTTCAAGTTGGAAACTTTTCCAAAATGCACAAGAGCTAAAGCAACCACTCATCCAAGTTCTCGCTCAGCTGTAGAAAACTGGCCTGCAGTTTATGATGTTATGGTTGATTATCATAATTATGATTAAGACAATGAGTGAAATGAAAGTTGACACCCCACCAGTATGGTTCAAAACATTATATCAAATACCTTAATTGTGACAAAGGTCACTTCCTAAACCGCAGGATTCAATTTGATGGAAGACATGACAGGCACCAGAAAATTTCGAATGATTCAATTTCAAGTTATTAAAGCAAAATCCTTAGTCTGGGATAATGTGGCACTTGCTTTATCAGTTTGCCCCACCGTGTCGTGGAAGACATGGACAAACGCCCAGTAAAGTTCATACGATGCTGGCCAAACTCAGTCACTCACCCAAGAAAATTGAAAGAATTTATTATGCACACGGTATAGTAGAGAAGTAAATATCATTTTTCACCTAACTAGACCTTATTGGCTCAAATGAAAGGTTTATATTTTTCTTTTTAATTTTTAGTGGTTCAATTTAGGCCCTAACAAGAAAAATATAAACCTGCCATGGCCATAGTAGGCCCGTTGAGGTAAGCTCAACCCACAATTTCATCAAGTTGGGCCACCTCATATGAGAGAATTTGAAACCATTGTTGGTTCAGTTTCACAGGATTAATTTGCTTGAAATTATATAGCTCACTCCGTATTGTATTTCACTAATTCAAATCGTTTATTTTGTAAATACTCATTCAAAGATAATTTCTACAAAAAATAACTTGAATCCGATATCATTTAACCACTTAATTGAATTATTTAAATTTTAGTACTTTCTTGAAGCACGGTATTCATTGATTTTGTAAGACACAATTGGATATCGAAACGGTTTCCGATTTGTCTAATTTTTTTGTAAGAATGATCTATGAATATAAACTGAAAACATAGATGGTTTAAATTGTTTTAAAAAAAATTCATAAGGGGCCCTAAAAGTGTCCCTCAAATAAAATTATTTAAGAGATCTCTCAATAGAATTAGACTATATGTCCCTAAAAGTGTCCCTCAAATAAAATTATTTAAGAGATCCCTCAATAGAATTAGACTATATATATTTACATGTACAGGTGCACACTTAGTATAGCAAGGGACATGTCATCATGAAACTCGGTCGGTGTGACGGTCTCAGAATTTTCTGGTCTTTGTTTCGGTCCGCTGCAACGTCGTCTGATATGATCTCATGTTCTTCATATATGGATGTATAAAACCCCCTAGCTTGCTAGATCATCCATGATAAATAATTGAAAAGTTGAAGTTTGTGAAGCAACTATAGCAAAGATGATTGTCCCAAGCATCAAAGATGACTGCCTCATGGTCCGGGACAATGTTGTTCTGTCTCATGTTCCAAGAAACATAACTATCGCACCTGCAGCCGATGAGGCTGCTTTAATTGGAGCTTCTTCTTCAAACTCTAGCTTTCGTCATGTCTTCTCTTTTGGGGTCTTGAGTATGTGTAACAAATTTTGTATTGTTGACTATATATATATATATATATATATATATATATGTCAAACATTTGCTGTTTTTTTAAAGAATAATTTTGTGTGCATTGCAGGGGATACAAGTTTATGTGTCTCTTCAGATTCAAGCTCTGGTGGATGATACCGAGTTTTGGAGATTCAGGCTGTGAAGTTCCAGCAGAAACTCAAATGCTCCTCTTGGAAACAAGAGAAAAATCCACTGTCCAAAATGGGCTATCTGAGCCAACAACTGAGAACAGTTTGTAGATTCTGTCATTACCAGTCTTGGATGGACCATTCAGGGCTAGTTTGCAAGGGAACACTGTAAATGAGCTTGAATTTTGCATCGAAAGCCGTTCGTTCAATTTATGCAACTTTATTTTGGATGTTGATCAATGCGGTTTTAATTTGTTCTGCCTTTTGATTCTATTCAATATTTCTGAGTTTTGTGGTTCGTTTATTTGTGCCTCGGGAGATCCCAATGTCCAAACCTCCCAAGTAACAGAAGCAATTTTTATGAATTCAGGAGACAACCCTTTTAAGCTCATTAGGAATTCCATAAAGTATATTCAGTAAATTTTCAAAAATTAATTGATTTGAGATTTGTGATTATAATGTGCCAGATACTGAGAATGATGGTTCATTTTATGTTTTTAACAACTTCATTCATGCAGGATACTGGCAAAGCACAAAGGTACATTCAATCATGTAGAAAACAAGAAGGTAGTTGAAATATATATATATATATATATATATATATATATATATATATATACAATTTCATGAAAAACTATGGAAAACAGATAGCCTGCTAAATCTGTTGTGCTTGAAATGGCAGATACCAGCACATGTGGACTGGTTTGGATGGAGCACCTGGGATGCATTTTATCATAAAGTTGATCCTCAAGGAATTGAGAAGGGGCTTAAAAGGCGAATTAGTTTCAAATGAAATAGACAACTTTGATTGTTCAACTTGGAAATAGAAAACTAAAAAAAAAAACTTAATCATCATGTTTTTGTCTTGTCAGAAGGAGTCATCCCCACAAAATTTCTTATCATTGATGAAGGATGGCAGAACAAAGTAATGGCAGTTGAAGCTGACGCTGATGAGACTGATTCACCGTATCATGCCACGTGAGACTTCTTTAAATAATTCATAATCTACCTCTTTGCTGACTCTGATCACGTTCTGCACCATGTTGAATTGTTAGATGATCTCATTTGCTCCAAATTTATAGGTCTGTGGACAGATTGACAAGCATAGAAGAAAGTGAGAAGGTCAAGGGCTTCCGGTCAGGAAAGTCATATGCTAATCTCCGTGAGTTTGCAAAGTTCATCAAAGAGGAATATGGACTGAAGTACACTCCTTGCTTTAACATTTGTTTTGAGTCATTTGTGAAAAATGTACATGATTAATCAAAGATTATGAGTTAAAATGCAGATTAGTATATGCGTGGCATGCTTTAATTGGTTCGTGGGGAGGGGTACTTCCAACATCTGAAGAAATGAGGAAATACGACCCCTGGATCAAACACATAGTTCAGTCCCCTGGAAACGTGAGCCACTTATCTGTACAACCCTTGGCCCCATGGAGAAATATGGGATTGGCATGATTGCCCCCTCAAATATTTATAGGTTTTATGACGATCTTCATTGCTACCTTGCAAGTTGCAATGTAGATGTAGTTAAGGTGGATGTGCAAAATGTACTGGAACTTCTTGATTCTGGTTATGGAGGCCGTGTCGCATTGATGAGGCAGTACCAAGAAGCCCTTGAGGAATCTGTTATAAGAAACTTTCATCGCAGTAACCTTATTTGCTGCATGAGCCTTAGCAACGACTAAATTTACAGGTTAATTTGTTGAATCTTTGACATCAACAAAGAAAAAAAAGGAAAAAGTAATTGATCAGTTTTAATTAGATGAGTTGTGTTGTGTTGTGTTGTGTTGCTTTCAGCTCAAAGCAGGGTGCAGCTACTAGGGTATCCGAGGATTTCATGCCAATGGAGCCAACATTTCAGACCCTACATGTTGCTGCTGTAGCTTTTAACAGTCTTCTCATGGGAGAGATGCTCAGCACCTAAATTAATTCCTAATTGTCTTTCTTCTGCATTTTCAGAGTGACCATTACACAGCTGAGTTCCATGCTGCAGCAAGGGCATTGGGGGGATGTCCAGTATATGTAAGGTCAGTCACAAGTTGACTAGAAAGACTCCAATTCATCGATGCAATTTTCACATATTAATTTTCGTAGAACATGTGCAGTGACAAGCCAGGCAGCCATAATTTCAATGTTCTTAAAAAGCTTGTACTGCCTGATGGCTCTATTCTAAGGGCTAGATATGCTGGCCGTCCTGCTCGGGACTGTTTATTCAGTGATCCAGTCCTAGATGGGAAGAGGTAATATGGCTCTATTCTAAGGGCTGGATATGCTGGCCGTCCTCCTCGGGACTGTTTATTCAGTGATCCAGTCCTAGATGGGAAGAGGTAATATGGTCACACCAAACCATAACAATTTTTTCATTGAGAGTTTTAATTTATCGTCTCACTCTCATGATCTTAACCATCTATTACATTGGTCCACTGCAGTCTATTGAAGATTGGAATTTAAACAAGTTCTCAGGAGTCATTGGTGTGTTCAATTGCCACAGAGCAGGCAAGTGGCCACCAACCGCCGGTGCTCCATATGAGCCTCTCTCAGAATCGACACCACTGCCTCTTTCCGGCCTTGTCAGCCCCTTAGATGTCGATTTGCTTGAAGAGGTTACAAATGAAAGTTGGAGAGGAGAGCGTGCAGTATATGCATTCTATTCAGGTCACACTGCCACCTTGTTTCAGTATGAAACTTGTGGCTACACATACCATTTTCTTATAATCCAATCCTTATATGACATACAATAAACATCTTGCAGGTTCACTTTCTGTGATGCCAAAGAAAGAAAATTTTGAAGTCCCCTTGGGTGTTTTAGAATGTGAAGTTTTCACCATATCTCCTATTAGGGTCAGTCAACGATACTACATTTTCTCTATTCAGCTTCTTGTGTTGAGTTTTTACAAAGTGGACTGAAAATAGTGGTAAATTACAACAGGTGTTTGGTCCCTATATTAAATTAGCCCCAATTGGGTTGCTTGATATGTACAACTCAGGAGGAGCCATTGAATCTCTACATTGCAAAAATGAACTTTCCGAATGTGTCATGAAGGTCCGAATCCGAGGATGTGGTTGATTTGGAGCCTACTCCAACAAAAAACCAAGGTTTTGTATGGTGGACAAGAAAGAGAAGTTTATAGTCTACAATGCTAATAATGGTTTGTTGCTACTTAAACTTCATGGCCAATGCAGTGTAAGAGAGATTGAAATTGTGTATTGAAAGTCTGCAGCTCCTGAGGGGTTTTAAACTTTGTTTGAAGCAATTTAAGTGTCATGTATTTTACATAAGCTTAATATTTCCATATTCTGATCCATTATATAAAATTCAGCTCATCCCATGTGACATGGTCTCGTGTTACATTTAGATGCTCCAAAACATTCTATAATCATACAGTCATAGCTTGCAAGATGAATTGCTAAAACAGATCAACTGAGATATAATCCGTACCCTTTCATATGCCATTGAATCTCTTTTTATTCACTAAGAATGAAGTGAATGTTATTGGTTAGGAAGAGTGTTTGGGTGTAATCCGAATTACTCACGTGTTAATAAGCGCAAAAAGAGTGTTTGGGTGTAATCCTAATTACTCACGCGTTATAATATAAGTGCACAAAAAAATTATATACACATGATAATACCGAAAATTTTATTGATGCTATTAGATCCCAAAAAAAAATTATTTTTTTATTTTTATAAATTGTAAAATTTTTAAAAGTAGAAAAGCAGTTGGGCTGGACTTCCATGAAGCAAGGAGTTAGATTTGGGCCCTTATATGATACATCTAAATCTGAAAGCCCGTACATGCTTTTATGTGCACATAAAAGAAAATCTCCTTCTCGCTGTCTCTCCCTCTCCCAATAAGCCCTTTCCTTCTACTCCTCTAGGACCTCTGTTCCACCCTTATCCTCACCCCCCTTCTCTAAAACCCTTCACTCCTCCATCTTCTCCGCTCAACAAAGAAAATGGCTTCTGCAACCTCAAATTTGTTCAAGACCTTGTCAATAGCAGACTCATGTCTAGTCTCTTTACCCTACCTCTCCTCCACCAAAACCGCCAACTCGTTTCTCTCAGTCCCATCCAAACCCATTAAACTCCACCTCACGCACACTCATGCTTCACTCTTTTCACCACCTCTGTCCCTCAAGAACAAAACCCAGTTCTCATCCATAGTCTCTTTTGTGGCCCAGACCTCAGACTGGGCTCAGCAAGAAGAAGACAGCACACTTACCATTGACCAAGACGAAGGAGCAGAGAGTGCTGAAGAAGGGGTCTTTGCAGAGAGGGAAGAGGAGGCGAATGTTGAGCCACCTGAGGAAGCCAAGGTATTTGTTGGGAATTTGCCTTATGATGTTGATAGTCAGAAATTGGCTGAGCTCTTTGAGAGGGCTGGAGTTGTGGAGATTGCAGAGGTGAGTTTTAATTTCTTTGTTTCATAAAGTTTGTGTATTTGGGTTTCGATGTTGGTGTGAAATTTGTGAGGTTTAGATATGTGGGTGAAATTTTTTATTTCTCTTTTGTTCGTTGTAGGTCATTTACAACAGGGATACTGAGCAGAGTCGTGGATTTGGATTTGTGACTATGAGTACTGTTGAAGAAGCTGATAAGGCAGTGGAACTGTTCAGTCGTTATGTAAGTTGTTTCTAAATTTCGTTTCTTTAAGTGGTTTGTTTTTATTGCTCTTTTGGTGATTTTGATTTCTGTAAATTTATGGCATGCATACAAGATGGAATAAACTCAATATGAGTAATTACAATATTTTGAAAGATTAAGAAAATTAGGATAAATTATGTGAATTGATGGCTGAACAGCATGGGCTATGTTTGTGGAGGGTAACCGATAATTCATTGTATTAGGGTGCTGGTGGTTTAACTCGAAAGTTGAGTGTAGCCATGAGCAATTGGTTCTATTCATATATCTAGTATGGGTTGTGGTAACCTTGAAGTTAGTTCGCAGAATTAGTATAGAACTTCTGATTATAGGAGAATGTGTCCTGAGAAGTGCTCAATAGGTTCTTGGAATGACCCTGAGATTTAGTATAGACCTTCTGATTATAGGAGAATGTGTCGTGAGAAGTGCTCAGTAGGTTCCTGGAATGTCTTTTGTAGTAAAGCATAATGGCCATAGGTAATGTCCTTCGCATATTCAACTTTTGGTGCATACGAATAGAGTATTATTTGATTGTACTGCACGCAATGTTCCATACTATTTTTCATTTTTATAAAAGCATTTGATGTCATATTTTAAGGATTGTGTTGATTGCTTCTAAGTTTTTTTGTGTTTACTGTGGCGATAGGATTTAAATGGAAGGCTCTTGACTGTCAATAGGGCTGCTCCAAGAGGAACGCGCCAAGAACGCGCACCCCGTTCATTTGAACCTTCTTTTAGAATCTATGTTGGTAACCTTCCATGGAACGTGGATAATGGTCAACTGGAGCAGGTCTTCAGTGAGCATGGTAGTGTGGTGGAGGCACGAGTAGTCTTTGACAGAGAAACTGGACGATCGCGTGGTTTTGGCTTTGTAACAATGGCCAGTGAAAACGAAATGAATGATGCCATTGCTGCTCTAGATGGACAGGTATTAAGCGTTTACATTTTCAACCTTGATGATTCATTAGGAAAAGGGGGTCCATCATTCGTGTAATGATGGACCAAATTCTTAGGTTGAATTGACATGCTTTAAATTAATTATGCTTGATATGGTTTGTCTAATTTTGCCTAATGGACTTGATTGATAAAGGGGTGAAAAACATAGTTGATGGAAATGTTGTATGGATTCATCGGTGCATCTTGGATACGATATAAACTATCTTACTTGAGTTGTCTTGTGCTGCAGAGTCTGGATGGAAGGGCGATCAGAGTAAATGTTGCGGAAGAAAGACAAAGGCGCAGCCCCTACTGACTTAACAGGGATGAAACCTAAGTTCTGGTTTTGGTTCCTTTTCCTTTAGATGAGATTGTGTCAGCTGTTTTTCAGCGAGGTTTTTATGATTTCTACTTTACAAGTGTTGTTCTAGTTGGAAACGATATATAGCGTCCAAGTTTGACTCCATTAATTTTGGGGCACTACTGATGTGGTTGCTATTTTATTTTGATCAGCTAATGGAGCATTTGAACGTCATTATAATGAAATAGTTTCATTTGTATTTTATGTCAGTGGATGTAAAGCCTTGTACTTTTAGATTCTCTTTTGTAGCATGAAAAACGCATAGTGCAATGCGGGTTTAAACATTCAAGAACTGAAAATCAGAACCAACATTTCAGATATAGCAGAAACTACATGCCTTATATTTAAGTCATTTGGCCACAAACAGGCAACAGGTTTGAACACCCTTGAGATTAAGGGAATTTACAGTGGCAAGGGAACAAGCTATGCCAAAGCAAACCATTACTGCGAAGAGAAACCAGAAAATCATCTATGCACAAATAGTGAGCCAGTAGCAGGCCTCAAGAGCCTCGCAACTGAGCATCTTTGCTTGTGAGAGGAACATAACGAACTGAAGTTTCAGTCCGGACCCTGATAGAGCCATCCAAGTTCTTGTCCACAACCTTCAAATCCTGGAATATGTTTCCCACTGGAATCACCATTCTGCCTCCGGGCTTCAACTGGTCAGTAAGTGGTTGTGGGATTTCTGGTGCAGCTGCACCAACATGAATGGCATCATAAGGTGCCAATTCTGGCCAACCTAGCCTTCCATCTGCAACAATAATTTATCAAATCAATAAAACGAGTAATTAGCATTTGGCAGTAGTAAAATCGTGTCTTAAGCTGATGCATTTATTTTTTCTAGAAAAAGACCGGTATCATGGGTGGAAATACTTGAGCATATACTTCAGGTGAATGGCAGCAAAACTTTGGGAACCAGTGTATGGAGCTCAAATATGTATAGTAAAAGTGTTATAGGCCTTGACTGGCAATTCCTTGAATCATATTGGATGAAAAACTGGTGTTTTGTTGCTGGTGCGCAACCTAAGCTGAGTGAATTTTCATTACAAACTGACAAGATGCAGATACGCTAGAATCAAGGCATGATAAGTATGATTCCTCTCAGCACCCAAAAAGGACTAAGCTATTTCACTCCAACAAAAAAGAAATTATCAGAGGAAGTCCTAGAATATAGATTTCATGAACAGAACATGATTAAAGAAAGAAGAAGTCCAGAGAGACAGGGAAATTGAATGGGAGGAGAACACCCAACGGTTTTTCATCTCCAAAACATTACAGGAAAGAATAATTCTACAAGCTTTCAAACATTTCAAATATCTTCCCAACTTTCCTTGAAGCCCAACAAGAATTGAATCCATTTTATGAATTTCTAAAACAACAACCCTCAAATCATATCATGGAACCAGCCCGCATGGGTACACACCATATTCATGCAAGTAATTTCTAAAACTAATCAGAGTGGTATACACTCTTTTCATTTAGCTTCAATAGAAAAATGATTTTCTTTTTCTTAGTTTCAATTTAAGTGTAACCCTGGGTTTCAGGAAACATACCACCGACATGCACTGAGAGGGAACCTTCTTTCAATAACGGTGCTGCTGCACTTTTTTTAATATTCTCGATTGAGGAAGAAACCAACTCAGGAATGTGCTCTACACCAACTGCACGGCCTTGTGGCCCAACCATCAAGGCAAAACAAGCTGTCAAATATCCCGTCCCTGCAAAGCAAAATACAGTAAAGGAAATTCAGGATCTCTAGTACTGCCTTCAAGATGCAGCTGAGCTAGTGCAAAGAATTCAGGTCTCCATAGATTCAAATGGTCAAATGTGAGTGTGACATTTCACTTCCAAGAATGTGCTAACCATAAAGACATAAACACATGATATTAACATGTTATAATAAAAATTCCATAGATAAGCACCTGAACCAACATCCAAAGCACGCATATTAGGCTGCAAATTCTCTTCCAACAACTGAAGGCATGTTGCATGCATATGAGGTGCAGAAATGGTGGCATTATAACCTATTGCCATGGGGGAGTCAACATAAGGTGGGGTCCCATCAGGCACAAATAAAGCTCTATCAATAGTCCCCATCACTTCAACAACCTTTTTGGAGCTAATCACTCCATAACTCTGCAAATTCTCCACCATCGCCTTGTTCTTCTTAACGCTACTATGGGACCAGAATTGCTGTAAATGATAGAAAATAATTACGAAAAACAAAGCTCGATTTAAATGTTGTTCAACACTAACATATAACAGTAAAGCCCAAATTAAATTAAGCAACAAAGCAATTTAAATGATACACAAACAAGCAGACCCCTTATTGGAATTTTGGCCATGAATGATCACAACCATTATTAATACCTTGTCTGGTTGCAAATCCAAATCCTCGACACTAGGATCAGTTATGGGTTGAATTGGTCCATCCAAGGCCCTCGGACAACAATACAATTGAATACCACCATTAACCAGGGTAGAATGAACCCCGATTAAAATGAAGACTAAAATTACTACAAATCCCTATTATTAGGGAACATAACCACATGAATCAGATCCTAGCATAATTAGCAATCACTAGAGTATATCATTACCAAAAACAAATTACCTTAAGCTCCAATGGGTTGATAAGAAAGTAGAAGTAACAGATTAATAAGACAAAAGATTAAATTTTTACAAAGTTATCTATCTATAAGCTGAAAAAACAGATGCTCTGTTTGGATATAAGGAGAGAGAAAGAGAAATACCTCCATTCCGCGGAAGAGGGAGTTACCCGTGAGGAAATTAGGGTTTTGGAGGAGAGGACAGAAGGAGAGAGAGGTGGTGGGGAGAAGTGTGAGTGTGCGAGGACGATGACGATGACTATGGCGATGATGATGATGATGATGATGAGAGTGAGGAAACAAAGAGAGAGTGGTAAAGGTTAAGAGGTGTTGCACAGTGGGCGCTGGATAGCGGGAATCATACGCTAAGCGGCCTAGGCCTACTATAGCACTTGTTGCTCTCGCTGGGGAGAGTAGCTTATGCATTTGCCACGCTTTCTCTACACCTTTCTCCAATTTTCCATTTTTCACTGCTTCACTTTACACTTGTCTTTGCCCTGCCCTTGCTACTTACTCCCTCACCCGCCGACTCATGCGTACCCCACACATTTGGGTCAAGCTAGTTGGGCCATTTTGTCCGTTTGTTTTGGGGCTGCACTTGTTAAAGCCCAAGATGTTGATAGGATTTCCCGGTCCAAAGTTTGACAGACAGTCCAAGAAAAGTTTGATACAATTACAAACCCGGGTTCGAATCTGGTGAAGCCCAAACCCGTTTGAACTCTCGTTTCCTTCGGTTCGGACATCGGAACTTAAGGTTTTTCGAAAAGAGCTCAATTCGAAGGCTAGTTTTAAGCTTAAAACTTACCCGGAAGAATGAGATGTTAGGATCAATGCCTAACTGAACAAAGGTTAAGCCAAAAAGTCATACCAATACCCACACGGTCAGGAATGGGTAGGTCTCTTTTTTCTTAGGTCATGCTTGACTCGACTTGACCTAAGAGAAATTTTGAGCATGGGCCAGCCCAATAAAACTTGTTTTACATTGTCCCCTGTTGCAAGCTGAGCCTGCCTCATTTGGTTCTTGGGCCAAAGAGGGAGCTGAGGCTTTTGCTTTTTGTTTACCACCAAGATTAGCACAGTAGTTCTCTTTTCTCTCATCCATTTTGTTCCCTCGCATGTTAGCTTCTTAATCTTCGATCAATAAAGAGTCTTAGCTTCTTAATTACTAGTCTAGGTGAAGCAAGCATTGCTGACGAAAGCATTTAAATGCCTTAAGCATCACAAGCACATCAACTGTGTGATGTCCCTTTCTTTTCCCCTTTTGTCGAGAGTTGTCTCTTCACATAATTCCTTTCTTCAAGGAAATACATATCAGTGTGGGGTTGAAGCTCAGAGTTTAGTTTTTTTTTTTTTTTTTTTTTTTTTTGTTTTTTGTTTTTTGTGAATTATTTACCTTGATAAAAAAGTTCATATAATTCACGCACCACCAGTACAAAAAGTATGCAGAAAATAATGAGACATGATCCTACAAGGATTTAGTTTCTCTCAAGGACTTGATTTTTCCTAGAATAGGAAATCCTTTTACAAAAGACTGCTAATGGGAGCAGATTTTCCTGCCTATGTATATCTTTGTATGTGTACAATTTCCAAAAGAGAGGAAAGAAAAAGGGGGAAAAGAGTAAAGAAGTTACACATAAATGATTAAAGAATGCCTACTGCCTAGTACTGGGGTTTGGATGCTTGGCAAAATTTTGATTTCCCAACCATTAAATTCTTGTTTATGGTTGTTGGTTGGGAATCAATGTCCTAAAAGATCTGGATTATGATAATCTGAATGATTAAAATTTACTAAAATGACTGAATTATACACGTTGGCATGGCCTCCACTATGTACAAGAAATTTTTTGAGCTTTGGAGTTCAAGCTATATATGCTTGTGTTTTAAACATATCAACAGTTGATAATCGTCCACACCCTGTACGTGCGAAATTAGTTTTTTCCTTCATTGGAGTGTTTGATAGATTCGTCTATTAGCTTTATTAATTTCCAAATATTACTTATGTATTTACTGAAAACCCCAAATCCAAGATAATGCTGGAGACTTATGCCTTAGGGCCACCACAGCTGTGTAACAAACCTTATGTCCTTATCCAATATATGTCTGGCTTTAACTTTAATTAGACTCACCTTGCAAGCAAGGTACTTGTTCATAAGGCTTTAACTTTGATTCCGTTCTTCTTGCTATTATATAAGGCATAGCTTCTGAAACTGTAAAACCACTCAAACCTATCATTTTCTCACTCTCTTAGGCATTTGAAGTTCCAAGATATGGCAAGCCAACAGCTGGTAGCTCCTAAGCTGAAAAATGTGAATATGAGGGATAGAAGAACATCCCCCCAATCTGATGATAGTGCATTGGTGAGGCAAATTCGGGAGACTCATTCTCCGGGACGATCCCACAGCGTCGATGTCAATCAAATTCTCCAAGTCATTGACGAAATATTTCATCGTGCTACGCACAGCACTGCTGGCGTTCTAGTTGTATTTCCTTATCCATTTGCTTTTGTTATAAAATTTTGAAATTAAAAAGAACACTTCGTAACAGTTCTGTTTATTTTGGTCACCAATTGCTTTACTTGCTGTGTAGGGTACACGAGAACTTGCAGATACGGTGGAGGACAGGACCACTTTGCCTAGTGTTGATGTCTTGTTCCACGGATTGTCTTATCTCATACAAAAGATCTATTGCGAGGTAGAATCTTTTTTGCTAAATGCTTTTACTCAAAGAAAAACATATAAATTTCTGTTTCTTTTATAAAAGCATATGGTATGGCACTTCTCCTATACTGTTTCTGCATATGGGATGGATATATAGGAACATGTATGCTGCAAATAGAAGTTTCGAATCAGTCTCTTTTATTCAAATTAATCCTATTTATTCAAATTAATCCTAGAAACCATAATTTTAATGTCTGAGGACTATGCATGTAGGTCTCCTCTTTTCTATTACATCCTTTCTATGCAAAATACAAATTAGCAATTAAGCACAGTGTGTCCATGTAACGGCAGATAAGTTGCCAATGCTCAGGAGGCAGCGATGTTCACGCGACCGCAATGGAGTTACTCAGGACCCTTTCAAACTATTCATGGGAAGCAAAAGTGGTGCTGACCCTGGCTGCTTTTGCTGTGTACTACGGAGAATTCTGGCTTGTGGCTCAGCTTTGCACTACCGATCCATTAGCCAAGTCCGTGGCCATCCTGAAGCAACTGTCGGACATGGTAGAGCATGCCGCCTCAGTCAAGCCTCAAATTGAGGCAATTGACAACCTCATCAAGGCCATTACCAACGTTACCAAGAGCATTGTGGAGTACAGTGAGATGGTCAAGCTGCAGTCTCACTACATTTCAGAAGACACACCTCCACTGTCAATTGCCCTGGCACATATTCCTGCTGCTGCCTATTGGGTCATTAGAGGCATCCTGGCTAGTGCCTCCCATATTGCCATCCTCGCAGGCAGCAGACATGAGTAAGCCATTGGAAACCACAATGCATCAAATTCATTTCAAACTATACCTGAGCTAATAGCAGCTCCTTTTTTCTACTCATTTTAGGTACATTGCATCAACCACAGAGGTTTGGGAACTCTCAAGCTTGGCTCATAAGCTGAACAACATACATGAACACCTCACCAGTGAACTTGAGAATTGCCGTCGATATATTGGTAAGCTCTTGGATTTGCAAAATTTAGAACTGTGGACATGTACCTCTTAAACCAAGTCTAAAAATGATGAAAGTTTAACTTAGAAGTTAAACATATCTCTTGGCTGGTTTTTCTTTCAAATTTCACCTTAAATTTAATGAAGTACTGAACAAAATTCACCATATGGGATCCAGTGGCAAAGAGATATGATGAAGATTATGAGACGCTGAAACGCCTCTTCCAGGGACTCCACCTGGACAACCTGAAGAACTTAAGGGCACTGATTTCCCACAAGGATGATGCACAACCACTCCAAATTGGTACAACCAGGGTACTGTCTACTTAAATCTTGTACCTTGCATTTCCCGGGTTTCGTATTCCTAATGAGCCATAAAACTGAATCATTTTATATGTTTCCATTGCCGCAAGCAGTACAGTCTTGAAGTGTTGAGGAGAAGGCATGTGTTGCTGTTGATAACGGATCTTAGTCTGAGCAATGAAGATATTGTGATTCTTGATCACATCTACAAACAACAGCAGAACAGGGCGGAAGTTGAGTATGAGATTGTTTGGCTCCCCGTTGTGGACGCAACCACTTGGGATGAAGCAAAACGGTTTAGATTTGAGGAACTAAAGTCAAAGATGCCGTGGTACGCGGTGCACGACCCTCAAATAATTGAGCCACCGGTGATCAAGTTCATCAGAAACGATTGGCATTTCGACAAGAAGATGATTATAGTGTCCTTGGATCCACAAGGAAGGGTGTCCTCCCTGAATGCTGTCCACATGCTGTGGGTATGGGGCAACGTGGCTTTCCCTTTCACTGATGAGAAAGAGCAGGTACTGTGGAATGCAGAGAGCTGGAGACTCCAGCTCGTTGCCGATGGCATTGATCCAATCATACTGGACTGGGTAAGTGCTAGAAACTTCGGCATAATATGTTGACAGATTGAATCTGAACCATACATTACATTCAATCGAGAGTACTTAAGTTAGATAACATTTTCGTACATTCATATGTATCCATTTATTAAGTCAAAATTCATGAAGAACTAAAGATAATGTGGAAACTTTTTTGCTTTATCAGATCGAGAAAGGGAAATATATATGCTTGTATGGAGGTGATGATTTGGAATGGATTCGGAAGTTCACGGTGAGAGCAAAAGTTGTTGCAGGACTCGCTGGTATCTCCTTGGAACTGCTTTATGTAGGAAGAAGTACAGCAACCAGGGAGCGGATCAGGAAAGTGAACAAAGTCATTGAAACAGAGAACCTCAGCCGGTTCTGGCCTGATTACACATCCAATTGGTTCTTTTGGTCCCGAATGGATAGCATGCGGTGCTCCAAGGCGAAACACCACAAGACTGTAGAGAATGATGAGATACTGAAGGAGGTCATGACTTTGCTGAGCTATGATGGAAGTGACCAAGGATGGGTTATGGTGTGGAGAGGCTCAAATGAGACGGCCAGAGCCAATGGACAGCTCACTCTGCACACCTTGGACGAATTTGATGCCTGGAAAAATAAAGCTGCTGAATCAGGCTTCGTGCCTACACTCAGTGATGAACTGAAGCAGCGCCACAAACCGCAGCACTGCACCCGTTTGATCATTCCAGGGTTCGGTCCAGACATCCCGGACAGAGTGGAGTGCGCAGAGTGTGGCAATGAGATGGAGAAGTTCTTCATGTTCCGCTGCTGTACCGATTGAGACATGTTGAGTCAAGCATGAAAAATCCATATTGGATCTTATGTTATATTAATTATGGTGCTCTTTCTTGAGAGAGCT